TCCTTCTTTCTTTTCTTTTCTCATCCATAAGGTTTACCATCGCTTATAGTTGGAGCAACGTTTGCAGTAAAGTTTAATGAGTACGGAAATGCAGAACAGTAAGTCCTTTTTGAATTAAGTCTATCTTTAATTTGTCTCTGATCACTTTTTCATTTCTATTCTTAATCTTTGGACCTTTCTGTAGTTGCTGGTTGTCTATAACGTCTGGTACACAATGGTCGTTTATTGGTCCTGTCTGTGGTGTTCTATTGGTAAGTGCTTCGGCTTTAACGACCTTGCTTTTAAAGGAGCTGTGTCACGAAATTCAACAAAATTAGGAAATTACAAAATGCCCGTTCAATTAAGAGTAACATAGAAAATAACCCCTTAAAACTTTAAAGGAAGGTCAAAACAGAAACAACAGATGCCACGGATGGGCAAAACTGAAGAAGATTGAAATGGATTGAAATTAGGGGTTTTGAAAACTGTTCAGCCTAACAGTTTTTCAAAGTTGATCCCTGCAGCTTGCAACTTCAAAAATAATGCTCAGGAGACACATTTGTTTGTCCCAGATCTATGATTTTGTCATTTACATGTAATTTCTTTGCTTACTTTAAGTTCCATAGCGACTGAGGGCGAGTAATTGGCAAAAATTAAACAATATGAACTGAACTGCCGTGACACAGCCCCTTTAAGGGGCCAATGGTCTAAAATTAATTCTTATACCGCGTAAATGTTAGTTTTGCAGCATTCGAATAAACAGGTGATATAATATTTATATTCAACTAAATGTCAAATAAAAAAAAGTAAGCTAAAAATCTATTCTGTACAGTTCTCTTTTTAACTTTCGGCTCAATTCTCTCTTCAGGTGAATTTTGTTGTGTTAGGAGTGGTTCTGGAGAGGTTGACAAGAACAAGAATGTTTCAAAGCAAAAGTGAATTGCAAAAAATACGGTGTGTATGTCCGCTCGCTTAAGCCTGCATGCACGCCAATCCTGCTTTTATGGACTTCCGGAACAGAATGGGGTCTTATGTGCCCGCCACGTATTACTATAGAGTGTTTTCACATGACGTCACGGCGGCCATATTGGTGTCCCAAAACAATGAAACGGCGGCCATGTTGGTGTCCCGAACAAATCCTCTGGGAGTTGAACTCTTTTCTTATGCAAACGTTTTCTTTTGTTCCAATAAATTTGCATAAATGCTGGCCACGTGAGTGAAAACACTCTATACGCATGCATAGGCATCAGTCAACAACCTCGTTCCCAGGGTCCTCTCCTACTTGGCCCCCGGAGCGAGAGAGAGAGGCCGAGAAGGAGAGGACCCTGGGAACGAGGGAGATCAATTAAAGCCCAGAAGGCTGATGTCATTCTGATGTAATGTAACATCATAACAGCAAACCTTATTCCATATAGTTGGCGGGAACAGTGTAACCAAGCAATTCCGGTACACTTAATAAATGTTTTCCAACACTATGGCTGTCATTATTAGTATTGAATTGCCACCTGATAATTATAACCCTTCATCTTGGTTCCGCTACGTTGAATTTCTTTACTTCAAGCATTTTTAAAACGAATTACGTTTACTGCAAAAACTAGGCCGCTTAACACCAGGCGCCTACTCAGTATTGACGATCGCAAATAAATTTAATAAGCGTTAACAGAAGAAAGCTCATGAGAGACTTAACTCAATCTACGGTTTTTCTACTGTAAGAAGAAAAAGTATAAATGACATTTTAACAACTTCAGCTAAGCCGTTTAAAGTTTGAAAAACGTAGTTGTCAAAGAAACGTTTTCATGGAAATGAACCTTACTTTTTAATCTTTCTCTTATACTTCAGCACGACGGTGCGAGCCTCCATGACACTAACACCACTGCTTGGACTGACCTGGTTGTTTGGAATATTCGCTGTTGATCAGGACACAATCGTGTTTCAATACCTTTTTGTTGCATTTAACTCATTGCAGGTAAGTTACCTCAGTTAATGCCCTTCTATGGCGTTAGAGCTAACAGACGTAAGCCCAAATTTAACCCTGTGCGAGAAAGATTCCTCATTTCTTGTATTTGTCTCGTACTATCAGCGCTGTCGTCGTATTTCAGTATAAAAGCCGCGAGTCCAGCCGTCACCGAGCAATACTGAGTTAGATGAATGAGTTATTGGCCGGGCCTAGATTTTTTAAAAAGAAATTGGGAAAGTAAATGAAATGTTAAGCTTTATAAAAAATGTGGTGTCAAAGTGTATTCACGGCCTAAGTCAGCCAGAAATTCACGACGAAAAGTTGAAAAGGCTGACGGCTGTTTCTAAACCGTGGTCATTTTTTTTTCTTTTTTTACTAGGGAGTGTTCCTCTTCCTGTTTCACTGTATCTTCAGCACTGAGGTATCTTCACCTTTCTTTGTTTTATTCATCGAACTGATCAACGTCATAAAAATTTAGTGGGAATCTATCTTTTGGAAATAAAACCGTAAAACGAGACTAAACCGAAGCCTATTCGCTACTTTACGAAGCCTATTCGCCACTTTGCAAAGCTTATTCGCCACTTAAGAAACGAGAAGGAAACTGGGCCTAGTGCGCTTTCCTACTGAACAAAGACTTCTGGAACTGTTATTGAGGACATGGAAGAAAATTTGGCCAATAGCTGATCGGCGCGTGCCCAGTAACCATCCCAGAAACAATTGCAGGAAACATTTCAGCTGCAGTCGCGTTCTCGTTTCTGTGGCGTCTAGGAACAAAGGGAATAATTCCTTTACTATTTCAAAAGGACATTTTTGAATCAACCCTTTAACTTCACCTCTTCACTTAAACGAAGGCACCAGGGGAAGTAGCTTTCAGCAGAATAGGTTACAAAGTTATTGTCGAAAATTTTGAGAAACTTTATTTGGGTGGGGCCCTCATGGTAGCACTTTCAAGTGACAAGGACAGGTATGAAAGAAGCTGGAGGCGATTCGACGGGACAAGTGAGCGAAAAGAATTGAATTTAAACCGAAATTGCTTTCTTTTTGTTTAAAGCCTTCGCGGCTTTTGGTGTGATTTGATCTCAGTGTTTTCCCTGTTTTTTAGGTCAAGGCTGGTGTCAGGAGCTTCAGACGAAGGAGAAGAGTAACGCAGGAAGTGAAGAAAGTAGCGAGCAAGGGTCAGGTCGAAGAACAACATAAAGTAATCACGAATATGAATTTTCTACATAACTAATAACCTATTTCATCCCTTATTTTGTGAGACTGACGTAATGATAAACCAGTCAGTAGTCTGAAAACAAAAGCATCACCTCATATTTTGATCATTCAACTTTAGAAGGGCTTCTACCGAATCACTGAGCACGATGTCTTGACGACTCAGCTTAGGAAGCCGACGGCCTGTGAGTTGGTCGTTTGTCAGTTCCCGTGTAAATATGAAGGGGATGAGATTAACAAATCACTTGCGAGGTGGACATTTACAGGCTGCAGTGACATTGTCATAAAAAAGAATGAAAAACTACAAGGGGAAAAGGGGGATTAATAAAACGCCGTGTAAACTCCAGAATACTTCTCAGATTTTACTGATTCCCTTTGCTATAATGGCGGACACTAACTTTTTCTTCCCATGATATAAATATGCGTTCAATATTTTAATGTTTAACGTGTTGATGAAATGATGTTCTGCCCGGGATAATTGATGGTAAAAACTCAACTTGGAAACCTTTGAATAGAAGTTTAAATCCTATTTAATCTTATAAACAAACAAATAAACAACTTAAAACCATCTATATATTTGTGGGTCCCCTGTGTATGTTGTTTTCACGGTGCGTGACCGCCAAGATAGGAATGCTGTCTCGTTGAAAAAAGTCTCTCCTCTTGATTTTCAGCAGTATAACCATTTCAAGTATTGGAATATACGTGTATGTGCATATATGCTAGTTCTCGAGTGAAAAGAAAGAGCTTTTATAGAAAAAATGAACTCCAGATGTTTTCTTAGATTTCCGGCGGCCATATTGGTGCACCAAAACTGTACACCAATATGGCGTCTCCATAAAAAGCTCTACCAAGGTGGGTGATACGTTTCGGCACATAATTCAGAAACTGTGGGCCACAAAGACCTGAGACTTGGGAAATTGTTTACGTATTAGTCTTTTATAACATTTCATTTTCTTGGCTTTTTCCACCGGACAGTTTCCAATTTATTTTTTTGTTGCGTGAGAGTGAAAACGATCTATACTACTGACTTCCAATGTATTTATTATTATGTTTCACAGATTTACTCAAAGACGGCATGGCCGTTTATCGAGCTCAATGAACGGATTGAGGTGATTCAGGCGGCGAGTTTGACCAGAATTGTCCGGCGATTATCTGAAGACCTGCAGGACATCAACGTTGGAAATAAAGACTGCAAGCCAAGCAACGAGTCTACATCTTACGCTTGGGCAAAGAAATGGCTGAACTCGCCTCAACAAAATATCACAATCACTTACGGCTGCAAGAGAAAGCCCAAGGACTGTTTCAGGCGCAGGTCACTGCCATGAAAAATTTGTCGTTGTTCTAAGCTCATTCACCTCGACGTTGCTGGGAGATACAGTTTTGTAATTATGCCCAAACATTGGTGAAGTTGGGGAGCACTAGCTTGTTATATTTTATATATATATTAGGCCTTTTAGATTTACAGCCGACGAGGAAGACAAAGTATTGAATTACTTAGTGAGATGGATCTTTGAAGTGTACTTTCAGTTTTGGACCCGGACTCGGTAACAGAAACGAGTCCTGAAACCTTGGTTGAAGGATTTAAGTGATGACAGGATGCATTTTCCCAAGACCTTGAATGATTGTGCCTATACCTAAAACCGGAAATATTAATCGAAAAATGGCAACCACGTGCACAATAAGTCGTTCTTGGCTTACAGGGACAAACAGTAGAATATTAAAACTCACATATGACAAAAAACAAAGCACGAAAGCATGTTGGGAATGTTACCCTTGTGACCTTTCTAGGATCATATCCTTGGAAGAAAAAGAGAACAGGAAGAGACAGAACAACGTCAAAAGATTTGACATCTTGAAATATGACTCTTCTTACCAGCGAGATTATTTTAGTTTGTGCTTTAAGTATATGGTAAAACGGAGGGTGCGTAATGGGGAAGGCAAAGACATTACGTTTTCCTTAAAACATATTTTTTAGTACCAGACGTCGACCGTAGAGGAGCATAGGTTGTCAAATACTGTCTCGCCGACAAGGGAAAATAGTTGTGGACAACAAAACTATCAGGATTGTTGTTGACAACTAAAGCAGTTTTTCTTTTCAAAGACGAAAGCTATCGTTTAGTTATTGATAACTATTTTTTGAAGTTTGCTATTAATACACTGCTTCAAAGACTATCTTGTTTGTTATCGATAAAAAAGCGAAATACCATCTAGTTATCGACAATTAAGCATTTACTTTGTGGAGGACCAAGTGGCCCAACCCTGGGGATCAATTATAACCTTGGGATTTATGGTCCACCTTTTTTTTTACATATCAACTTTTTTTGACGTTGGGACAAAGGGCAGCCATTGCTTTTGGAAGTTATAATAGATACATTTGTAAATTAAACTTGCAAAAGTTTTATTAAATTGACTCCACCGTAACCTGAAACGTGATCGGTAATTAAAACTGATTAAACAACGAGGAGAAATATGGTTCTTGGTTGTCATTACAGGCACTAGGTGCGAGACTGCAAAGCCTTTCTCAAGATAGAGAACGTCGCAGGGACCTTGGTAGGGCCACATGGCAAATAGAGGCAAAGGTACGCAAGGTCATCGCAAATTATTCAGACCTTTTTAGCATCATAAGAGAGAACCAAGTTGAACTAACAAAATGACCTTGTTCTAACACATTTTATTTCACAATTTATTTCATAGAAAATGAAAACTTACGCTCACGTATTCAATTATGTTAACCTCTTTTAACCAGGATACTAATATAACCCAGTTAACCTGTTATTCTTGCGGCCGCAGCAATTGTCTATTAAACACAATGTGGGTTGTATGACAAGCAAACAATGTTCGACAAGGCATCGAACAGAGTGAGCCCCCATACCCTAAGGCGTGTCTGTTAATGATGTGCATGCAACGCTTCGCAGATTTGGTTTCTAACTGGCTAAGCTAAAAACAAAAACATTTGTTCCTGACGGAAAATGTAAAGAGAAAAGCTTGATCTAGATGAAACATGGGAAACCATCTCAATGAAAAGTTGAGAGAAGTGACTACACGGTTAAACATGCTAGTCGAGCTCAATGCTGAAGAAAAATACCGAGCTTTACACGAAGATTCGAATTTATGCAAGGTTTTAAAATCTACGCAGCTTATACCTGAAGTCTACCCTTTTTGGGTTCCGAACACCAAACGTCGTGAAAAAAAAGAAACAAACAAACAAAAAAAGAAACGACAGGAAACAGAGCAATCTTGACAACAAGGGGTCGAAAACTAAGAAGTTCAAAACTAAGGGTTCTTTCCAACAGTCAGAACTGGCCGGCCGGCCGGCCGGACTACGGCAAGACCAGTCACTACGAAAACGAAATAGGCTTTTCTAAGCGTTTTTGCTAAAAAAACCATCTCCTTCGTGCATACTCTTTACGTTGACTGATTTCGCTGGATAGTCTTGATTAAAGCTGAAATTCTCATTACAACGGAAATGGCTGTCCAGTCAGTTCTGACAATAATGGAAAGCGCCCTAAGATAAGTACACTAAAATATTTACAGAAATAAAATACTTTTACAGTTGCCTGGTGGTAAAAGTCTACACGCTCAGTGAACACCTCATAAATTCCTCATAAGATATTCTCCCTGCCATGTTTTCATCAAACACGGAGAAAATATGAAAGAAATCCTCTTCGTGTAAAGAGAATTGAAACTTGTTCATAGCGGCCTTAAAATCTGTGACGGACACAAAACCATCGCCTGACAAATCCATTCGCTTGAATGCTCTTCTGAGACCTTTCCATTCAGAAATCATCTACACAAATCACATGGAATAATCAATAGAAAGTGAAAGGGTACATTACCCGTAGCAGCAACCGTCAATACAGTTTGACTTCTCCTCACCATTTAACGACGCAAAAAAGTACGAAAGCCAAAACTTAGCCAACTTAACTGAGTAAGAAAACTCTGGCTGAAAGAATTTGTTTTTCTCGTGGGGAAAAATGAGGGAAATGCCGAGCGGGCAAGATAGCCAATCAGAACACAGGATTTGATCCATCGTGCCCGCTCGCACAACCAGCGTTATAACAAATCAAGTTGCTTAAAGACTGTCTTTGAGACAAATGCTCTGTGTTGCATGAATTCTATGCATGTAATTCTCACCTGGTTTCGGATCTTACCAAAGACTGCATCAATCGCCTCGCGGGCTTTCCTGGTATCTGTCCACGCCACCTACATGAACAAATCAGAGAGAAAAATTGATTTGATATATGACCTACTACTATACTTCTTTAGTTAACCACACTCGATCTGGAACTATTTGTAGCCCTACCCTACAGAGGTACAACCCCATGGGCTTATACTGGGAGACTCCACCCAGAAAGAGGTACCTGTTTTGGCGTCGGTTAAATAAAAGGGTAGGGATTTCACAAGTTGAATAAGTCCGTTGTATACGTCACTGAACAGACGAATGAATAAAGCCCAACAATTTTGAAAAGAGGAGTTGAACGTTATTTTCACAAGAATTATACAAAAATGTACGTACGTTGTATGTTCGATGTGACACTTCTGGCCTTTGATCAACAAAGAACAATATATTGTTCTTTACGATGGTCACTTTTCCGGTTGACAACTTATTGATAAAGTAAATATGCCAATCACAGAAAGTTAACAAACCTGTGTACGAGACCTATGTGACGGCGACATGGGGACGAGGCTCTGAGGTTTCACAGCCATTGTGGGAAGAAAGTATTTCATGAATTCCAGGTACCACACCCTAAAGAAAAAGACAATATGGAGTCATGTTTCTTCCTCACAAGAAGAGGGTGTAAAAAATTGAGTAGTTCCAATGCTCTACTTTCAACTTACCTAGAGTTTTTCCTTCTATCAAACTTAAGGCAAAGACTCTGGAATTCTTCTTCGCTAACATCTTTGGAAAATTTCCTCAAAACATCCTGTACAAAAAAAGTAGCTTTGAATTGTTTCCTGAGTTTAATGAGCACCGCAGGATGTCAAAGAAAACGTGGTCGGTTGTGCTTCGGATCATGAGTCATTGAATCAAAAAGTATTTGAAGAGAACAGACCGCAAATTGTTCTTGCAGTCATTTTGTGTTAATACCACACATATTGTTGCTCGGGAAATTTCTTAGTCTAAGAGCCCCAAGTAAGAAACTGCACAGCTGCAAATAACAGTCGTCATTCGACAATTTCCGACTAAATTTGAATCAAGTCCAACGAAATTTTACCTGCGCTCGGACATGAAGCCCAGGCCAAATTAACACCATAGAACATCACTTTGAAGATTTTTTGAGGAAGCTTTGCAGCTTTGAACTGAATAAAAAGAAAAAATGCAATACAGCAATGCAGTAAACACCTCTCCTTATAAGGCTGACATCATTTCGTCTTATCCTAAAAACATCAGTATAAGCTGTTCCAGCAGTACTATCTGAATCGGTTTCAGACCAATAATTGAAGGTTACCCTGGTAAAGAGAGGCACGACCTTAACTATATAAAGGTACGCTTCATAAACCTCTACGCCGATTAGAGCACGGACTGTCTTCAAACAAATCTTGCAAACCGCTCAGTCGGAGCTAGAGCTCTGCACTTAATATCGACAATTTTCGGCATTTTTATAGTCTTTAGACTGCATGTGATACCTTTTTCCTTCTTTAATGTTTACAGAAACACACGCAAGTTGAGTTCACATGTGCGTTACCTTAAATCTATTGAAGTCCAAGGTTGCACTTCCTTCATTGTCTTCCGCAATGAAAGCATCGCGCAGCTCGTTCCATTGTGAACAAACCTACACGTGAATATATTTGCAGGCACGCCGTTAGTGAATGGAAGAGCGAGGGCCACGAGTTATCAGTTATCAGCGCACTCGCTAATGTGTCTCTCGTTAAATAATTATTTCTTTCATTGATTTAAGGAATCCAAGAATCTTGGATTCTGAATTCCAGGTAGTGAAATTTGGGTTCTGGACTCCAATCTTAAGTAGATTTGAGATGTATTCCGGATTCCAAAGCCCAGGATTCCGGAATCCCCAAGCAAAATGTTTCCGGATTCCCCTACATGGGGCGAATTTAATGTTTTGTGGTAAAGACATTTAGAAAAGAGTGCGTTTGACAGGTAATGCGCGCCATTTTTTTTTAAGATTCAGAAAAAGTCGAAAAATAGGCACCAATTCCCTGCGTGCAAAAGTTTGTCCGAGTAGCGCGGTGACCGTGATCACACTATAATAATAAGCTCAAAATTGCCATAGCAACTCTACCTTACAAATCACTGAGGAGATTGACCTCGATTATCGCCGTTTTCTTTTGCCATGCAGACTAAGAACGCTCTCAACAAGCTCTCAATTTACAGTAGCAACAAATAAACAGGTGGTTTTCACATGACAGCTCAATCTAAACATCACCATTCGAAGACAAAACATCCCCATTCGACGGTCTAGTCGTTTGCCCTACAAGTCCAAACGTGGCTTGGATGACCACCGAAAATGGCTGTCCCGTCTCCAGAAGGAGAAGTTCAAATAGTGCCTTAAATTATTCATTACTTTCGTGCTAAATGCATTGACACCGAAACAAAATCTAATTAGTTAGAACTAAGGCAACTCCCTGAGAATGTTTTCGTTTTTTTGAACCATCAGGCAAACGACTTAAATTCAATTGACAAGCTATACTTTTAGTGTTATATCTTTCACAAGGGATAAAAAGCTGTTACCTGTGGTTTGATTCTTCTCAAAGTAGCTTCCACAGTTGGTTTATTACGTGTCTTCAGGGGAGGAAGAGAGGCATTTTCATCCAAGGGGGACCCTGGCTGGTCTTCCAGTTGCATTTGAGAGGGTGGAGTAGGAAGAGGTTCTGGATCATCTTCTTTCTCTTCAGGGACTGATGCCAGTCGTTTGTGCATAACGGATTTAGCATTTTCTTGAAGAACATATGAGAGTGATCCTAAAAAGGTGTAAAAATCAACTCGTTTTTTAACGACCACGAACACCAGTATCAATTGAATTTTCATTTCCTCAGTTTATTATCGACATGGGTGGGGCTTCAGCTTAAGCAACGGGCCGTGTGGCATGGGTAGTAAAACATTACAAAGGTAATTCTTCAGGATGGCAAATTTATTGTACAGGATTCGTTTAGGTCCCGTTTATACGTATCCGCATATTTTAATTTCAAAAACGGACATTTTTCCTCTCGTTTTACGCCGTTGTCCACACGTAAAGGGGTTTTCTGGAACCAAAATCGCAGGTTATCGTTCTGATCGTTTACGCGTGGATAGGCGAAACGGGAGTTCTCGAATACGACTAATTCTAAAGAAGAAAGAGAATTCAATCACAGAAAGCTCAGAAAAATTTTCCGAGCTCCACGTGGGAATCAAACTCACGACCCTCCGAGTTCTAGTTCGGACGCTCTAACCACTGAACAGACTGGCATTGTATATGTTTTATAGCGATATCCCGATAGTTATGGACGAGCCTTTAGCCTTACGCTTACACACAGATAGGCACCTTCAAAACAAAAGTGTCTCTCTAAATAAGGAACTTCATGTGTGAATAACGTATTTTTTTTTTGCTCAACGAATCCAGATTTATGATACTTTTGTGCTCTCAATATAAGAGCGTTATTTCATATTTCATAGTCCTATGGTTACTCATTTACAGTTTTGCGCGTTGATAAATGAATAAACAGCTTTCAGTGTGGTTTTGTTATATATTTTACCTACTTTCATTTTGTTTAGAAAAATGGAAGCGATCGTTCTAAACCTGGACCATTTTAACTTTCCCAATACCGTAAACTTAAATGGTTACATGAAAAGAACATTTTATTATTGGGAGACCCGTTAAGACTGTCATCAGTTTTCAAAGCGGTCAGAAATTTTACACGTTGATTGTTATACAAAGACCTACAAAAGTTTTTTTTTGTTCCTAGAAAGTTAGGCTTACCTGTCTGCCCATTACCTCCCTCGTTTGAAGTTACGTTGTAGTTCAGGAAACAGTGATGAACCAATTCCTCAAAGCTGACTGAGCCATCCTTCTCAGACGGTAACTTGGACCACAGTAAATCCACCTCGGATGAGGTAAACTTGAGATCATACCTGCATTCCAAAAATAATAGCGACAACATAACCGTTATACTTTTTTTCTCTAATAAGCACCCACGCTCTAATTAACGCCTGTCCCCTAGTCCATATTAGTGAACTTACGCAACAGGAAGAGAGAGAAAAGAAGACACCAAACGTTGTGTGACAAGCGTGACAATAATTTTGTTTTGTAAACGGACGGAAAACATTAGTGTAAAATGAAGATCACGACAAAACACGCAAGTGATAACCCTGACAGGATTGTCACACACATCCGTTTTGCCGTCCTCTTCTTCCCACCGTCCTTTCGTCTAAAGTCACTATAATACCAGACAAGCTCTTCTCTCGAATAAGCGACCCCCCCTCCACTTAATAAACGCCCTCCCTTGATTAAGCGCCCTCCTTCGATCCAATGAAGCACCCCTGCTTATAGCTTTTAAAACGAAATACGTTATGTAAGAACTTGAGTAATGTTATTAAGAAAAAAGACGATCCATAACTCAAAATGTAATTGTGGAGAAAATGCAACTCCCACGCAAGTACCTTTCAAACAGTCTTCTAAACACTCCTTTCGATAAATATCCTTTTTTAAGTTGATCCATTCCTTGAAAGGTCTATAATTACAGTGAGGAAGAGAACAAAAATGCTTCTCAAAAACAAGTACTTCAGTCTATTATTTTTTAAACAGGAAATATTAAGTCTGTGATGAACAGCAAACCTTATGAATGACTTGGAATTTTTCTGTTAGTAGATCCCGAATAACACAGAATAGCTGCAGGAAAAATAACATTTCAAATGGTTATAAATTTAACAGATCTACAATTAAGTCCCAAGGAGACGTCAAAGAGCGTTTTCCCACAAATTTTGTGTCATACACTTTAAACAAAACAAGGAATTAAGTAAAATATATTTTCGTTTTCATAAAAAGTAAAAGTTAAGAAGTAGAATTAGGTACGTAACTTCTGGTTGGTTACCGCATTTGCAATCTTGGAGCTAGCTTTACGAGCATGTCATATAATAATAAAGACGTAAGCAAAGAAATCTGTGAAAATCAATTCTTACAAGTTCGGGTTTCTTGTACTGTTTAAAAAACAAGCTGGAATGTATCATCAGGTTTAAAAACTCGAGGCGAAGTCGAGGATTATTATCAGCACTGAAAGGCTCTCTTCATGGCAACACCTAACTATACGTGACAAGGATGCGACGTATCTTCGAACGAACGAAACTAAAAGGCGCGTCATCTCCTTTCAAAATACATTGTACAAGGGTGTGTCAGGCAAATATGTACGCAGCAAAACAATTAACGTGCGAGCTGTAATCGGAATTTGCGGTGCAAAACATGATCCTAAGCTCTTTCAAAAGTATACCCTTGTGCTTACCGCGTTGGCACTCCTTGGTGGCGATTTGATTATCTCTTGCTGAGTAGCGCCCCTTTCCAATTCTTTTCGTGGGGTAGGCCGCCGCGGTGAGCTCAGCTCCTTGGGTGAAGTTGCTGGTCTGCTATTGACTCTTGGTAGACTAGTCATCTTTACATTCCTTGCATCATTTCTGTTTTCCCTGCGGTAGCAAAGAGGAATTTTCACGTAAAGGTTAACTTTTCCCGCAGGGATATAAGGATTTACACAATTAGAGACCAACTGGAAAGACCTCATACCCTCTAGACTCCGTTCTCCGTTCCTTTTGCTTAAATTTTTTTTATGTGCAGGCTGTAACGCCTGCTATATCGGAGAAACGACCCGATATTTTATCACTCGCGTACGTGAGCATTTAATCACTGATTGGGACTCACATGTATTCAAACACCGGCAAGACTCTAAAAAATGCAAGAGTTTAGGTTCACCTAACTGTTTCGATATTCTAGATCATGCTGCCACTCCTTTTCAACTCAAGACTCAACCCTGACAGGTAGTTCATACAGCAGAACAACATTGCATGAAAGGGGGGAGAGGGAGCTTCACTTGCCAATTTGAACACGGCAAATGTACGTTAAACGCTCTTTACGGCAAATTATCTTCACTAATTTTTACGCCGGTCGCAGGTATTCACGAATATTGCTTCACTGTCCCAAGGACTTTTACCACCACGAATTCCAAGGGCCTGAGGTTTTGAGTGTAGGTATGAATGGAGTTTCAATGTAATTATAGACTGTATGACAGTGAAACTAAAATTTAAAAAAGTAACTACCCCGATGAGGTGAAGAGCTCTAGGAATCGCCCGTAAGGTATCAAACTTTGCATGGAACCTTCCACTAAGGGTTGCACTACTGAATTGAGCTCATCATCCTTGATCGTCATGTTGAATCGAGTCTCTAGTAAGTCCTTAAACTGGTATCGCTTAATCACCCCCAAATTGTCCCTGTCAAGCTGCCTGCAAGTTAAGAATAAAAAAAAAAACATTGCATAAGTATAGGATTCTGAGAAACCGCTCACCCATCCCTCGCTCCCCTAACCTCCCCTCCCCTAAAATGTTGTTTAGGGGGGAGGTTGGTGGGAAGGTTTTTTTTAAGAGTAGAAATAGGTATATATGCATTGTATGTCATTCATATTGTTAAAAAGAAGTGCCACGTCACATCCACTGGTCGTGAGTTATCTTACAATTGTATTCAAACCATACTATTTGCAAATTTTCATTGCTGGAGACGTCATCTCAATGTACTGTAAGCAGTTTGAAACAGTTTGCAGTTTGCACCGCCACTGTTAGATTTAAATTTGTGCAATAAACTTGTAAAACCAGCACTTTTCGAAAAGGTATTTTGATTCCAAAATTAATTTAACAGTATCGTCAACAAAATTAAAGTTACCAAAGATATATTTTTTTTCATACTAACAGTCGATCATGGCGTCCAAAATTTGCCAATGTCTGATGGAATCTCAACCGTGGTTAACCATTTTGTCCGGCTTTTAAAGGAGCTGTGTCACGAAATTTTGTCAAAATTCAAACAAGGGACAGGACAGTAAAACATAAAAATAACCGCTCAAAAAGTTAAAAGAAGGTATGGATAACACAGCAAATACAAAAGGAAGGACGGATGGAAAAAAGTTGAAGAAGAAACCCTCTGTGTCCCTGGCTCGATTCAAACCCACCCCACCTCCGATCTTTTGAAAACTGACTGGGTTCTCTGACTCGTAAGGTAGACGTTAACGTGAACTGGGCCAAATACCAGAGCATATGCTGTGTAGCAGGTACGTGATAATTGTTATCACTTACTTAAAAGCTCCAAGCAAAGCTAGGAAATCAGACTGCAGTAAGTCAAGTAGACGGGCCTCAGCATCAATTGCTGTCGTGTTGCCAATATTTGAGTCTCTGCTGTAATTAAACCTGCAATGAAACAATACAAAAGTTACATAAGTAAAAGAATAAACAGGTTAAAGCTAAGCAGAATTCGTCTGAACTGCATCTTTGACAGGAGAAGGAAAAAAACGCGCAAACCTGACTAAGCCAGTCTTGCACTTAAAGTAATCCCTGTATATTAACGGTTTACATTCGAACTTCATGGCAATTAACAACAGAAGATCGTAACCATGCCCTACCAATTGAAAAAAACATCGATGCCAGAAAGAAACCTCTGCTCGCTGAGTAATATTGCAGCATAACAAACGCAACAAGTACACAATGTACGATATGTACGATGTAAATGTACAATTTAACGTATCTATTTCATCACCTGTGCTTCGGATCATTCAAAATGGCTTGTAACCTTCCTTGTTCAGACCGATCCAGATATAAGTCCATTAATTTCTTGTAAGGAACCATACTTTGCTCTCTCATGCCGCATCTAATGAAATTCGACGAATGCATTCAATAATAATCAGTATTATATAGCTACAATAGTACGCGCGCTCTGGTTGGTTGCTAAGCAGGCATTATTTCCTTGTAATGACTGGGCATTATTCGCTTGGTTTCCAAGGCAGATACAATCTCTTTTTGACTTGATAGTGGACATCCATGTTATGGTCAATTGACAGCTGTCCAAAAAGGCATCCGCTGACCAGTGTAACATGACTATCGCGGGCGCGAGTATACAGCTCATTGAGGTGACGTGTTATTGGTTTTAATTGATCGCAGGCTCATTTACTTCCGATGTTTTATAATTTTATTACTGTGAAATGAGGAGTAAATTCATTTCCTAACCGCGGCGTGAAAAAATAAATGCAAAAATTCAGGCTTGGTGGGATTTTTTTCAGGATTTCTTTTGGCAACTGCATAAGTTGCGTCCTTTCTGCTATGAACTTCTTTTCATGTAATTTCAATAATCGTACCTTTGAAGAAAATGTTCAGCTTCCACTGGTCCTAGTTGCAAATGATACTCAGATAAGGCTTTACGCAAGTCTGCCCGGGTTATCTGATATGAAACGAAGAGATTATGGAAAATCGACAAAAGAACAACTAAGTCATAAAGACTTGGCAATACGTAACTACACAAATGCCACTAAAATAGAATCCTAACTTTTAATTTAACTTAGAAAGTTTGTTAATATGTGTAGTATGTTAATATAGAAATGTTAATTAGTTCCTACACGGATTATATAAAATAAACTGCAAAGGCTAATGACATTAAACCTTATTTGTTTTACCTCCTTTAGTAAAAGGGACACATGATTGTAGTCGTGCTTTAGAGCGGTTTTCACTTGACTGTCGTAAAATCAAAACCAAAGTAAATACACTAGCCAACCAAAGGGCGTAGTAAAACCAAAACCAAACCAATTCCTCAATTACTTTCGACAGTCAAGTGAAAACCGCTCTAATGTACTCACTATTATTTTATTTAATTCACTTAATTAATTAGATGGTACATCTAGGGCCTGTTTACATAAAGGTGGGGGACCCAAGAAATGTGAGGTAACACGTGGCGTGTCACCCCTCCTTTCATGTAAACGTGATCAAATTAAAATGAGAGATTATATGGACAGGCGCGTTGCCCCACCTAAGCGGGTTACCTCACCTGCCTGGGGTACCTCACCTCCATGTAAACATGCCCTTAGTTGGTAATTGGCGAGTGCGATAGCACTAGCCTCTCCCCTCAGCGGTGACTACGGCGGGTTTCAACTATCAAACAGGAGGTTTTGTTTGATTTTGAGTAGAGCCTCTTTTTGTCTTCTTGAGAGAGGACAGAGAAGAAAAGGAGGTAATGCCTAAAGCCGAAGCCCGAACTTCTGGGATTAGTCAATCTTTCAAAGTGTGAGCATCCGTGTATTGAAAAACCATTGGTCATAAATGGACCCGCTGTAACAAGCGTACGTTTGAAAGCTATATCCTTGTAACAAGCCGCACATGCCCGACAAAGATCTTACTCTGTTCATGCAGAGTGAAATCTTTATCGAATACGCTTAAATCCGGCAGGTGAAAGAAAGGCTCTGCCAAACAGGGTGTTGAGTTCCATGCGGCGAGGGTTTTTCTCCGGGTTATCCCCCTTCAAAAAGCCAGCACTACCGCATTTTGCTCTGATGGATTACTGGCAATAAGTGTAATAGTCGAATAGATCCGCCAAGTAATTAGTCTCCCTCGTAGCCGTTTTTGTTTCGTCACGCAACGCTCCTCCCATCCCCGGTTGGGAAGGAGAGTTGAGTGAAGAGACAAAAACGGCTGCGTGGAAGAGTACCAGGTAATGCATTCGTCAAATACAGGCATTTTACGTATTACAGAATTATAAAAACAATTATAAATTTTTTGTAAAGTACCTGTCCAGTATCTTCTGGATCATACTTGCCAAACGAATTGAGTACTTGTGAATAACCCTCTTTGAACTATAGGACAAAGCACATAAAATTTGTTACTGGTAGTAATATCGGATACATCCTGGCTGAGGATAAATTATGAGGGATGTTACATTGTAGATGTTACTGTAGATGTTGAACGTTGTTGAATAGAAATGGAGGTACATATAGGACCAATTCAGTTTAAAAAGGTGCAACAATCTATCCGTTACAAATGTTTACTTGTTGTTGGTTCTCTCCCTTCTCCGAGAAGATTTTCGTATCAATTTAGATTTCCGGGAAACTGCCCACCTACCCCTCCCTAAAGCTAACATAAACACTTACTTCTCACTTCGGGCAAAATGTTAGCTTAGGGGAGGGATAGGCAGGCAGTTTCCCAGTAACTAAGTTGATCCGGATTTTCTCTGGGTGCTCCAGCTTCCCCCTCTCCTTTAACACCAACACGAGTTCCTAAGAAACGACTTCCTAAGAACTCCTAAGTGCTTCGTCGGAAACACGTTACAATTACAATTTACAATTTTTTACTCGCTCAACAAACTGCATAATTACTCACTGTTTGTTAAGAGACCAATTAATGTTGATCGATGCTGAACGGAGTATAAGTACTTTAATCTTTACAGCTCTAAAATGCACAACCTTTTACGTTGATCTACGTTCGCTCGCAACATTCCCTCATCTTACAATTATAATTTACATGTACCTTTTCGGAAAACAAGCGCATAACATTTTCAAGACTGTTGTCTTGTTCTGTCTCCAGTACATGTGAATCCTTCTTGTCCTTAGGCGGTGATGGTGGTTTTGCTTCCTCCTGTCCACGAACCGTTTCATTCTCAGTAGGGACTGTCTGCTTTTTCTCTTCAACGTTTGCTTTAAATGACGGGAGCGGTTTTACCTTCTTGTCATGTCCTGACATAAAGAAACAATTACAATGTATATGACATATATCGAGCGGATTTTTTAAAAACGAACCTCACAAAATTTGCAGTCATTTGAGGGGGAAAGGGGCAAAAGGTAGATTTTTTGCGCCCGAGAAGCTCGATAATCACACTAAGAACGGATTTCCACTCTCGCGTAATTTTTATGTGCCTGTACACGAACGTAAATTTTATTTAATAAAATAGAGGAGTATACATATAGTTTCTATAGTTTCTGTTCGGTCTCCTAGCCTCTTCTTTTTTCTACTTATCCTACATGTATATTATTTGTAGTTCATTTTCTATTTTTGTGTGGCAAATAAAATAAAGTAAAGATATAAAGTGTTGAGCTTAAACGTGAAGTTAAAGAGCGTTTTACAGGGAGGTTCAACTTTTACGTGCGACCTGTCATACACTGCCTCTATTTTATTGGCGAGCTTAAATCGACTTTACGCACGTAAGAACGTAAAAATTACGCGACAATAGAAATCCACCCTAACGAAGGAAAAGAAGAGGAGAGAGAGAAAGAGCGAGGAGGACGAAAAGAGGAGAAGAGAAAACAAAGCAATGGCTGCAATCTTAGTTTTATAATGGCTAAACTGACGGAAAAGGTCTATTTGGCAGTAACGTTTTCAAAAATGCGGCTAAATATACACTGTAAGTAATATTATACAGTTCCTATGTGCATTAGAATACAACAGGAGACTTTGGCAACGACGACGCTAACGGCAACAAAAAACGTGGAAAAAGCAATAGGTTGAAAGGAGCAAAACAACAACTCTGTGCGTGCGTTAAACATTATTTTGGCTCTTTTCTTTGCCATAACTGTACGTGAAATTTATGGTTGACGTAAATTAAGAAAGACGAACTTGGACGCGGTCCCCAAGAATTAAACTTCAAAAAATTGCCTGCATTTGATAAACTAAGCGAGATACTAAAACCGCGAGCAAGTTTCAAAGAATGCAAGTTAATGTTATCAGTGATATTTTGGATGGCATCGCAGTCATGGATGCTGAAGCTCCCTAAAACACAGTTTGTTTTATGTACCATAAAAGGGACTTATTCCAAGTGTTTTGAAGAAAGTCATTGAATCCACAGCTCCTAATCCTGTTCTATCAAACCTAAAATAATGAAAATTAATACAAGTGAATCAAAATGTCAGCGTGGAAGTAAGGTAAGTACACTGTGGCAATACATGGAAACTCGTTACCACAGTACAGAGTGTTTGAGCAGCAAGCACTGAGAATAATTTGTAACTACGTCAAAGGACAATACAGTTATACCGCTGACTGGCGCCACTGCAGAGTAACCGAAATGAGACAGACCGGCTATTATCCGCTTTAAAACAAAGTCAAGGTCATTGATTGAGACTCACACTGACGCTCCCGTGAGATCAAGGAGGCTACAACCCTGGTCAAAACATCTGCAACACTTTGCTAACTTTGCTAAATTAACTCGTAGTTTACTTCTTACAAAAACTTGAAAAATGTTGTTGTAAGAGCCTATTTCTGCTGTTCCCCTCTCTCCCAAGCAACATTGATTGTATTGAAAAACACTGCAATGCATAACGTCAACACTGCACCGGGGGGAGGGTGTAGGGAAAATGCGTCATTTCAACGAGCTATTGTGTTAGACTTGTCCCATGATATTCCCCAAATGGAGACCTTGCTCGCAGGCTAAGCGTGGGCGAGTGGTCAGCGCGTCGGACTTGCAATCCAGCGGTCCAGGGTCGAGTGCCACTCCAACCAATAGCTGAATTTGTTTCTCAGACATCCCGAGTTCAACTGGTTCGGACTTGCATTTACTGTAAGTATCGATGTAAGTGACTACGTTGACTATGCTGTATATAAAAAAGCAATGCACAGATTTAATAAACGAACATACTGTGTAGTCATATAGTAATACCTGTCCCAGACTTTATCAAATTCTTCCTCGTACATCTGGAATCCTAACACTTGCAAGGCAGTCCTTAACTGGGGCTTCAGTACCATTCCATCAACGTCAAAACAAGATGGAGGAAAGATTTTCTTATAGGAGAGTTTCCTGCAAGAGAAATACGTCAAATACATCATCATAAGAGTTGCTCGGTAGTACATGTAAATAGAGGATATTACATGGCCGCGCGGGGATAAGAATTTTATCTTCTCGTGCTGAAAGTATCTCTCACGAGTTCGCTTCGCTCACTCGTGAGAGATACTCTCAGCTCGAGAAGATAAAATTCTTACCCCCAAGCGGCCATGTAATGTTCTGTTTATTTTATAGATACTGATGAAATTCCTACATAAAACACAGCTTTTTTTTATTCATTTTCGAAACAGCAAAATAGTGCAATTAAAGTGGTCACCTATCGCAAAATGACTGTCACATAAAATAACGTTCTCTTGTAATTGGCTAGTCATGTTAGTAACCATGGCGACACCAAATATCCTTACACGTGAAAGATAAAAATAGTATCTTTACTGCGCGCGATGAAGATATGATTTTTTAGTAAAAGGAAAAATCCTGGTATTTCATCAGTATCTATATAATAAATTGTAAAGAATTTTATTGGCTGAATCCTTCTGTGTAACAAGGCTTGATGTTCTAAAGGCGGTAAAGCTCAAAAAACTAGTCGGTTCTCTCAATAAACACTATCCGTACTCAAGACTACAATCAAAGTTCTGCTATGTAACACTACGCCCGGTCACGTAGATCAGATAACATCTAAATTCTAAATTAGTCAAAACAACAAATCTCTGTGCGGTTTCAAGTGTTCATTTTCCTAGGCTATTTCCGCTATTTCTATTGTTCTATTAGTTTCAGTTCAGTGTTCATTGTTCATAGGCTCGATTTCTTGACACTCCCCCCTTGACCAACTGCTCACTGTTGGTCAAGAAGTCTCCTGATCTTGTCTGCAGTAGCTGCTGCTGCTCGTCTCGGTGGTCTCACAAGTTCAGCTGGATGGTCAGGCTGCTGGACAATTCCAGCTTCCTCGGTTCCGACGTGTTCGTTTTGAGGCAGGTTTCCGGTGTTCACTTCCAGTGGGATAAGTTTCTGCACTGCTCTCCGCATCGTTGAGGGCTTTCCCTTCTTGCTGATGGCTCGCAACACAGCACCTCGTTTGTGTCCATCTTTGCTCTCGATCAGCTCGGTGATTTCTCCTAATCTCCACTTGCACCTCGCTAGACTGTCGTCGTGGATCAGAACGACGTCTCCAACCTTGACTTCTTTGTTCTGATTTCCTCTGGTTCCGCAATAATGAAATTCTCTCAGTCCAACAAGGTACTCGTTGGACCATCGTTTCAAGTGTTCTAGTAGTCTGCTGAGGTAACGCGCTCTCCTTTCAAGGCTGGAGGCGGTTTCTTCATTATCGCTTAGCTCGGCGGGGTTTGGTAGTGTGGCAAGTCGTCTTCCAATGACCAGGTGCGATGGTGTAAGGGGTTCTTGATCTGTGATGTCTGAGTAGACATATGTGAGGGACGTGAGTTTAGTACTCCCTCCACTTCTGTTAAGACTGTAAGTAGCTCTTCAAAGGACAGCTGCGCCTTTCCGAGAACTTTGCGAAGGCTTCTTTTTACTAGTTGTACCATACGCTCATAGTAGCCTCCCCACCATGGCGCTTTTTCTAGAATAAACTTCCAAGTGATCCCTTGGTTGGCGGCAAAATCTTGCGTTCTCTTGTTCTGAAGTAGTTGTCCTAGCTCCTTGTTGGCTCGCTTGAAGGTCTTCGCGTTGTCGCTTGTTATGGAGGCTGGTCTCCCACGTCTGGCTATGAACCTCCGCAAGCATCTGACGAACGCTTCCGTTGAGAGGTCTGGTGTCAGTTCTAGGTGTAAGGCTCTCGAGGTTGCACAGGTGAATAGGCAGATGTACGCTTTCTTCATCTGTTTAGTAATGCCGCTGGTGCTTTTCACGTACACAGGGCCGGCGAAATCCACTCCCACATGGGTGAAGGCCGGGCTTCCGGAGACTCTTGATTCAGGTAGATCAGCGGTCGGTGGTGGTCTGTACGGCACTCCCTCTCTTTTCTTACAAATAACGCATTGATGCAGGATCCTCTTTACGTACTGCCTCCCCTTTGGAATCCAGAAGTTTGTCCTTACTTCGACTAAAGTTTCCTTCACTCCTCCGTGATTGGTCTTCCGGTGGCAGGCTTCCACAATCAGTCTTGTCACGTGATGCCGCCTCGGTAATAGTGAGGGGTAACGGGTTTCGGCACTCAACGGGGCGTTTCCAAGTCTGCCTTTGCACTTCAGAATGGTATCTTCATGTCTGAACAGCCCAAGCTGCTGTTTAAGGTTCTCGAAGTTCCTCTCTCTTTCAAAGGGCTTTTGAACTTCACGGATCCAAAGTACTTTCGCTTCACTGATTTCTTCAGCTGTAAGGGTGGTCTGTTTACTTTGTGCTTCTCTTCTCTCGGTCTTTGCTGACTTCAGATTTCTGATGAACTTCAGGCTGAGAGCTGTTACTCTGAATAGTTTAGTGGCATCGCTGAAACGTTCGCAGTCGATGATTTCAGCCAGCTTTACAGGATTGCTAGGCTCTGTGGTCAGGTTAACCATGGTAGTCACATTCGAAGGTTTTTGTTCCTTTGCTTTAAATTCCGTCCTGCATTCTTCTGTCAGATCTTCTTCTTTTGAGACTTCAGAGGCCGGGTAGTTCTTCGGTGGGCCCTTTAACCAGGCGGGGCCCTCCCACCACAGGCGGTTATCCACGAGCTCAGATGCGAGACACCCTCTGGAGCCAACGTCAGCAGGATTTTCAACTCCAGGACAATGACGCCAGCTCTTCGCATCGGTCAACTTGTGGATCTCGTCTATGCGGTTCTGCACAAACTGCTTGTATTCTTTGTTGGACTGTATCCAGTAGAACACTGTAATACTGTCGGTCCAACAAAAGACTTCTTTGGTGTTCAATACCTGGGCTAAGGCTTCTTGTACGGTAGAGATCAAACGGGCCAGGATTAGTGCGGCAAGCAGCTCGAGTCTGGGAATACTCATAGGCGAAGATGGCGTAACTCTGCTCTTGGCTGCTACGAGGCTTGTTTTGTAGCCATCTTCGGTTTCAATGCACAGGTAGACTACTGCACAATACGCTCCCTTTGAAGCATCTCCGAATCCGTGTAGAGTTGCAAACTTAATTCTTCTTTCTTCTTCTGGGAAGTAATAACGATTCACAGTCATTTCGCCAACTTTTTCCAGGTCAGTCAGCCACTTTTGTAGGCGGTTTCTTCCAGGTTGAGGGGTGAGGCTGTCCCATTCACACTTACTTAGACAAAGTTCTTGCAGCAGCATTCTTAACACCACCATCACTGGTGATATCAGTCCTAGAGGATCAAACAGTTTGGCTGCAATTCGGAGAACGTTTCTCTTTGTAGGTTCCAGGTTTCTGGCGAATTCGACGATCTTATTCAGCTTCATAACAATGGTGTCTTCCTCCAGGTTCCAATTTGTTCCGAGGACCTTATGTTCCTTTGTGGGGTCGATTTCTTCTAGGCCGCCAACGGTGATCTTTGCGTAAGATTGTTCTTCGTCTGATGCGGATTCTTGTTTCCCAAGACGTTCTCGTTTCATTCTGTCACTTGAAATCTTCTCAATGACTCCTCTTCTGTTCGACGCCCATTTGCGTAAGTTGAAACGCCCAGCTGCGAAGCAAGAATTAGTCTCCTTGTAAATGGAATACGCTTCTTCATCGTCTTCGCCGCCAGATGTCAAATCATCCACGTACAGGCCTGCTAGAGTGTACTCTGCTAAGGCTGAGTCATGTGCATAGTACTCGGTAACATGGTGCCGTAGTGTCGCGTTGAGCAGGAACGGAGAACAGTTCATACCGAAGATAACTCGGCAGAAGCGATAGATCTCAACATTTGGATCGTCCTTTGTAACGTCGTCAATCCACAGAAATCGCATCAGGTCTCTTTGCTGCTCATCCACTGCGATATTCAGAAAGGCTTTCTCAATGTCGGCGACTAATCCAACTTTATGGGCTCTGAAACGCATCAAGATGTCTGCAATACCAGGGGTCAGCGGTGGACCAGTGTGAGTGCAATCGTTCAGGGAAGGACAGCTTGGTTTCACTTTGGCACTTGCGTCAAACACCACTCTCAATTTAGTCGTTAAGGCGTCGCTTCTGATAACGGCCTGATGGGGCAAATAGTGCGTCTGACCTGGTAACTGTTCTTCGGTTTCATCCACACGTTCAATGATTCCATGGTGCAGTTGATCTTGGAAGATCTGGTCGTACTCTTTCATGATAGAAGGCTCTTTTCTTAGACGTCGCACGAGGGAGTTCAGTCTTGCAAGGCTTAGATCGTAGTTGTCAGGCAGTAGGTCTCGGTTTTCTTTCAAGGGAAGCTTCACAGAATATCGGTCGTTTGCGAATGAAATGTTCTCTAGAAATGCCTCATGGACAGTTTCTTTCTCTCTAATCCCGATTGAATCCAGGTCCCATAGTCGTTGAAGAAGCTCTTCCGTGTGGCATTCTTTTTTCGGTTCGCCGGCAACTTTTAGCACGTGTGTGGAGACAAAATTGACGCTTGAAAGTTGCGCGCTTTTCTTCTCGCTGGGGACTGGGCCCGATAGTACCCATCCCAGGGTTGTACAGCTCGCCACAGGTCCTTCGCCGTTCTCTCCTCGTCTCGTCTCTCCAGTGAAAAATAACCACATGAAATCAGCGCCGATTAGCATGTCAATTTCTAGATTTTCGTTTCCATGGTCACCGTCGGCTAATTCAATTTCTGTGAGATAAGAAAACTGTTCCTTGGCAGTGTCAATCTCTTGACTTCCGATTGGTGTGCAAATGGTCGGTACAACAAAGGCTTCAATTTCTCGCGATGACCACATGTTCACATTTCTCACGGCAACTTTAACCTTCTCACATTCCGTTGGTTGCCCGGTGACGCCAGATCCGAATGTTTTTATCAAGAGCGATTCTTTACTGATTGTTGGCGAGTTTAGTTGGTCACGTGCGCGTTGAGTAATGTAACTTTTCTGGCTTCCTGAGTCAAAAATTACTCTCGCTCTTATTCCAGTCGAGGTGTTTCCATTTCCGATGAAGGCTTGTGCGGTTTGTAGCAAAATTGAATCGTGCGATCCCACGTAAAAGGTTCTTGTTTGTGAGGCTTGCGACGGTTGCCGATAAGGCCATGTATTGGTGGTATTTCCGTTGTTTTGGCTAACCATGGATTCCTGCTGTCGTTGTTGTGGTTTCATTGCCATTTCACACAGACTAACGTGATGTCTCCCAGAACACTTTAAACAAGCCATGTTTGATGGGCAATCTCTCAAAGATGGCTTCTTTTAAGGCAAATAAAACAACGACCCTGCTTTTTTAGGCATTCTCTCCTCGCTGTTTTGTTTGTCACCACGTGGCAACTTGCTGTTGGGTGCGGTTGCTTGCAAAATGTGCAATGTGTTGTATTTGAAGGCTGGTTTCCGGAAAACAATGCTGACGCGCTTGTCGGTCCTGATTTTGGCGATTTTGCGTTCCTTCGATCTTCTGGACTGTATAAATTTTCCTTTCGGGCCAGGGCCTGCACTCCTCCACATCTTTCTCTGTTTTCTACTTCACTGCGCAGAAGTCGTAAGATTTCAGTGAGGTTCCATTCTCCGTCTTTCATTTCACGGCCCACTAACAGGCGAATATCTTCGGGAATTTTCGTCATAAGCACCGGTACGAGAAAACTTCCATAAGATTCTGTAGGCACTTCTAACGCTTGTAGGCCTCTTACGTGCGCTTCAATTTCATCGTAGGTTTGCCGTAATTTCCGAACGTCCGATGTGTTTCCTAAGGGCGTCAGTTTGAGAAGGCCATCCATGTGACTGCTTATGATTACTTGTTTATTTCCGAATCGATTCTTTAGGAGCTCGATCGCTGCATTATAGTTGGCGTCCGTTAGAGGTAGACCGGCGATTGTCGCGGCTGCAGATCCGTTCAAGAGGCTTTTCAAGTAGTTGAACTTGTCGATGTCGTGCACTTCGGTATTTTCGTGAACAGCGCTCCTAAAACTATCCCAAAATGTCAACCACTGGCTTGGCTCCCCGGAGAAACTCTTTAAACTTATTCGGGGCAATTTCGCGTGTTTGTTCGCGCTGCCAGCGCTTTCCGCTTTTGAAACTTGGGTCGGTGATCCATTCCCGCTCTGGCTCTTACTTCCATGGAGCGACAGCACGCTTTCGATCTCCACGATAAGCTCCAATATTCTCTCGCTAAACCTTCCTGCGTCGGCGATTTCTTCTTCGATTTCTTCATCCTTTTCTAAGGCGCCCAAAATTGCTTCGTCCAAGTTGCGTAAGATTTCCATACGATCACGAAGCGAAATTTTGATTTGTTTCAACTTGTTTTCCTTTGAAGAATCGAAATCCTTGATTATTTGCTCTGCGTCTCCCATCAGCTTTGTGGCGTACAAGCGATGCCCTTGACGCTTCTGTTTGCTTTTTGAGGCCATTTTCCTATGAGCTCGTTCAAATCCGGCTCGTCAAAGGACCATGTAAAGAATTTTATTGGCTGAATCCTTCTGTGTAACAAGGCTTGATGTTCTAAAGGCGGTAAAGCTCAAAAAACTAGTCGGTTCTCTCAATAAACACTATCCGTACTCAAGACTACAATCAAAGTTCTGCTATGTAACACTACGCCCGGTCACGTAGATCAGATAACATCTAAATTCTAAATTAGTCAAAACAACAAATCTCTGTGCGGTTTCAAGTGTTCATTTTCCTAGGCTATTTCCGCTATTTCTATTGTTCTATTAGTTTCAGTTCAGTGTTCATTGTTCATAGGCTCGATTTCTTGACATAAATGGACATTTACGACATTCTAATCTTCAGGTTGCAATATTGTATAAACCAGCAATGAACACGGTACAGCATTTCAGTGCAAATGAATTTTCTGTTAATTATTTCCTCCTTATAACTAGCCTAAGGAAACAGCCGACATTTCTCGACGCCACCGCTGGTTTCTTGGCGAAATGACGTCTGAGAAACGAGTGCAGAAATTCCATACTGAATTCCATACCTAGCATTTTCTGTTCTTATTGTTTGCACCTTTATGAAAAGAAAAACCACTTAATTCAACCAAAATGGCTACAGTGTAACCACTGTGTATGATGTTGGTTATAAGACACTGAGTGAAACCTTTCGTCTAAAAACTCAAACAGTTTTTACTCTCACCCTTGTTGGGCTCTTAGTTTCAGTTGAGGAAAGGCCTCCAGTGCTGAGTAAAATTTAGGTGGTGTGTTCTTTCTCCCTTTTTTCAAAGCCGCATGTCTCTGTTCCAATGCAAGTTCTCTCTGTTTTTGTCGTAGCCTGTTAGCTGGTAGGTTGGTAAAGTTGCCGGCATAAACAGTTGGTCTAACCACAGGATCCACCCATGCCTTAGTGAGAGACTGCCAAACACGGTGAAAAAAATAGAACATTATTATTTGTTTATATCATTTAATCAATTAAAATTTGCCCCTCAAATAAACGCCGCAGATGGAACAAAATTACCAAAAAAGGCCGATAACACTTCACCCAATTATAAGAATGCGGCGTTTCGTCCACGATGATATGAAAAAAATCCGCGGCACAACTTTGCAATCTTCACCAATCAGACAATCGACACGAGACATTAGAACTTTAAACATCTTTCTACAGTACATAACATTTACAAATGCATCAGAAACGCTAAAAATCTAATAAACGTCGTAGCGTTTAACCGAATACGTACGTATCTGAATACTATTTTACGTAAAATTACCAAAAAAGGCCGATAACAAAATTACCAAAAAAGGCCGATAACACTTCACCCAATTATAAGAATGCGGCGTTTCGTCCACGATGATACGAAAAAAATCCGCGGGACAACTTTGCAATCTTCACCAATCAGACAATCGACACGAGACATTAGAACTTTAAACATCTTTCTACTGTACATAACATTTACAAATGCATCAGAAACGCTAAAAATCTAATAAACGTCGTAGCGTTTAACCGAATACGTACGTATCTGAATACTATTTTACGTAATTCAGTTAAGACTATTGCTACAGCTGTACCAGTCTATGCAAGCAGAAGTCCACAAATTAGGGGGCAATAGCCTTACTATTTTTTTCTTTACATATTTGCCTGGTACTTAATAATCATTCTGTAATAAGATAAGTAACATTAATTATCGTATCACAGGCATTTAAAAGTGATCAAGTGAAGTTTAGTGCACATGTAAGCAAGATACGTTTACTCAATCTCAAAAAATTACTGATACTTGATTTAAGACTTTGAAAAGCTTTTGTTACCTCATTGTCTTGGAAATGGCTGACAAAGCTTTCAAATGAAATGGTACTTTGTGTGTCCAGCCCCAGCCTACAGTCAAATAAATCAAAGAGATCATTAAATTTCAGTAAAACCTGTACAATGCCCTCGTTGGGTACTCTTTAAAGCGGCCGATACAGGGAGGCTTCACCCGATAGGGGTGCCACCTTTTTCAGGTTTCAGGTATATGAGAGGGTAAGGATTCCACTAGTTGAAGTATATCAAAGGGCAGGAAAATCTGTAAAGAGGCCTAAAAGGCTAACAGATGCACTTTATGGCTGCGAAAAAGTCAATAAAACGTTCTGATTATTATATTTTTCATGCTATTTTAGAAGACAGTGAATTTTTACAGCAATTACATTCTAAACTAGGTATGCAAAAGGAGTACTATATATTTTAGGCTACGTGCAAATGGGCGCAACAACTCCCAACAATGTTGGGAGTTGTAAGCCAAAAATGTTGTGTCCGTTTGCATGGGGCTAACAGTTTGACCGGTTTCAAACTTTGCACAACAACATCCAACAACATGCCACAGGGTGTGCAAACAGACGCAACAGTCATGTAACATCCAACAATGTTGGGAGTTGTTGGTCAACAATGTTGCATCCGTTTGCTCACAGCCTTAGTCAAAAGAATTAAGGTATATGACAGGAGTACCTTCTGTCAACCACATATATGATAGTGTAAAATGGTAAGGGGTTTGCACCTCGGGGCAGGGCATCCCCATCTAAAACTTTTTTGAGTTTGGCCCTTTTCGGTACAATGCATGACAGAGAGTTGGAAGGTATGGGGTCAGAAAGGTGAGAAACTAAGCAGATGTCCCACCTTATTATATATTTTTACTGACAATAGGGGAACTCCTTCATAAAGAAAAACAAAGTCTTGAATTCATCTACTTTATAAAGAAAAAGCAAGCCTTCCCATTCCCTACTCCCCCCAAAACAATTGTATCTACATGTACTTCCCCTCCACAACTACCCCCAAAACTATCTCCTTTATAAAGCAAAAAGAAATCCTTCTCATCCCCAACTACCCCCCACAACTTGTATCTACTTCATAAAGTAAAAAGCAAGCCTTCCTTTTCCCTACTCTCCCCAAAACATGCATCTATTTGGTACAGGAAAAGGTAAGCCTTCCTGGCCCATCCCCTGTTCCCCCAAAACATGATTGTATCTACTTCATAAAGCAAAAGCAAGCCTTCAAAATTTCCCCTACTCCCACCAAAACATGTATCCACTAAAGGAAAAAGCAAGCCTTCCCTTCCCTTACTCCCACAAAACAATGTTGTGCCTCTGCTAAAGAGCTAAACTACAAGAAGACCACATTAATTTGTAGTCAGTCTCTCTGTCAACAAAGTTTTCATCAGTGGGTTACCTAAAATTAATATTAAAGGTGAAGGAGAGTGAGACAAATTAAGACATGAAATGTATTTATTGTCCAGCTCCCAGCTGTGTAATATACGTAAGACTGGAAAATGTTTTTGGCATGATTAAAACAATACATTCAGAAAGTTTATCACCTTTTCAGGAGACCATTTATTTGCTCCGTTGTAAGGTAGCCACATAAATGATACAAAATAGTAACAAGTGCTTCCCTGCATGTGATGAGAAAAAAAAATTGACATACATGAATAGAATAATAAATACCACTTACACAAACTTGAAGTACATGTACTTTACATGAACTGTGTTAATTAATTTAAGGCCACCTTTGAAAGGTTATCACTTTTCTTAATTTACAAGCAGAAGAGTTGGGTATTTGGGGGTGCTAGAGGGGTGGAGCAGCGAAATAAAAATTACTTCTCCTTGTAAATTTTATAGACACCACAGTGCCAAATGAACAAAGCCATTAAATCTACTAGCCTACAAAATGATAATGTTCCACATACATGTACAATTTTTCAAATAAATCAAATTTTATTTTACCTTGATACATTTCCCTTGCCCATGGGGTCATTAGAACGGAAAGCTTGCCGTAATCCATTGATTCTCGTAACCAGCTTTTCACGGATAAGTTCTTCAAGCTGTAATAAGCAACAGTGTCCATTGTTAAAGGGTAAACAAATAATATATCAATAACACATGAAAAGATACCACTGCCCTTATTGGAAACCTCCAAATGAGGAGAGCTAATCACTCTCTTAACCCTTAAAGCCCCAGCTATATACATACAGATTCTCCACACTAACCTTCATACTTTTCCTTACAGAATTAGTTGAGAGAATTTGTTCAAAGATCAAAGCATTTTTTCTTAGCTGATCATTTTATGTATTGATATTGTTAGGAGAAAATTGATGTTGGTCAGTCTTGGGAATTAAACAGAACCTGTGGGTTTTTTTTTTCACTCTCAACAGAAACTCAGCCGAAACCTGCCAACGATATAATATATTGCATTGTTATTGATTCAAAATATTTCCCCAATTCTGATTGGCTAAGAGCACACATAATTCACCATAACCAGCTACTGATGACCAAATTTGGAAGAATTTTGCTCGAGTAATCAACCAATGACGTCAAAATTGCAGCTTCCTTGCAGGTTAATGCACCGTTAACTGAGAAGACTTGGGGACGAGGTTGAAATGTTTTGGTTGTGAAAACAAAGACAGCGTTTGTTTCAAGAGTAAGAACTATTTGGAGAACAACTCTAAACGTGCACTATCAAAGATGAACGTAACATCAATGGAGGTAGGCATGTTTTATCTACGTTTTTAAACTAGGAATTAGTTCGAATGAATAATAAAACAATTATTGAATTTGGCTTTCTTATCAAATGAAGAATTATGGAGATCTCAGACGGTGTTAACTGCCTCAGCCTGTGGCCTTGACTGATAACACCCTCCTTGATCTCCATAATTCTTCATAACATAATCAGCCTCATTCATATTGTTATTATTATTCATTCAAAATATTTTCCCAATTCTGATTGGCTAAAAGTACACGCATAATTCACTGTAGTCCAGTTACTGATGACCAAATTTGGAAGAATTTTGTGTTTAACGAGGAAATGACGTCAAAAATGCAGCCCGCTACAGGTTAAGGCACTGTTACCAAGAAGACCTGGGGACACGGTCGAGTTGTTTTGGTTGTGAAAAATATAAATGGCGGACATTTCAATCATTTCACGAGTAAGAACTACAGCTGGAACAAGGCGAAATAATAGCTAAAAACATGGCGAAAACAGCAAGAAGACAACTGGGAGGGCAACATCTGCTATTTAGAGAATATTTGCAGAGCTGGACAAACCTAAACGTACACTATCGAAGATGAACTTAACATCGATTCAGGTAAGCATGTTTTAGCTATATTATGTTTTTAAACTAGGAATTATTTTGAATGAATAAGAAAGCATAACACCCTCTTTGATCTGCTTAATTCTTCATATCGTACACAGCCTCATTCATTAATTGCTAATTATTGACCATGCATAACGTGAAGATGGCTGGATATGGATATCTTTGCATTTTTATGGACAATTAGTTAGGTTTAAAAAAAGTGACAAAAAATATTATTTTTGAATGGATGAAGTTGAAGTGCTGAAAAGGGAAGGAAATTAACTGAAATTAATTACTACTCACTTCCTCTGGTGTGCGCTTATGTAGAGGAGTTTCCCCTGCTGATCCACCACCACTGTTTTTACCAGTTCCTCCTTTTAGAAAGTGAATGTTAAAATAATATAATAACTTTATGTTCATATAGACATAATGGACGTGAAACAATGATTAAAATGCTTTAGAGTGACTGACTCTGACCCCAATGTAAACCCAATAATTTAAATACAAATGATTATTTTTTCTCTACCAAGTTTGTGACAAATTCTAGAGATTCTGATCCATAAAAATACACAATACCTTCCAAGTACCATTATGTAAACCAAGAGGTGACATACTTCACAAGAACGAGTAATTTTTGATTTGTCCACGTGGTAAAGTTACACTGCAAACACTCCCTATATGTACCCGGACGCCCAGATAAAATACACTGTAAAATAATATTGAAGTTGGAAGGGGCGTGGGCAGTTTCTTTGTTCTTTTTGACATATCATTGGATATATTATCCAATAGTAAATATATCTCGAGAAAGTCTGGTGACACATGCACTACACCAAATCCTATGGTACATGTAAAAGGGTGATTTACTACTAGCTGTAAATCTGTCGCGTGTAACAGCATCTATAATGTCTATGATATCTGGCAAGCATTTGATAGCAGTTTCCACCAAAAACGACTCAATAATAGGCTTATTAAATATTATTCCTAAGGATGAAAGATTTTTGATCAATCTGAAGCTGTATCAAAACACAGAAATCAGAAATGAAACAGCTCAATATAATTAGCTTAAATACCTTTATCTCTTTATCACAGGTTCCTTGCAAATTTTTTAATTCTGGACACTTTAACTTTTGTACCGCCATAGCGATTATTATCTGCCATTATGGATTCTAATGAGATAATAAAACAATGACTCACCAATAGGCCACGTTAGAACCCTTGAATGCCCTTGTGATACACGTTGGCTTGTTCTTCTCTTCAACGGCGGCAAAGGACCATGTGATTCCTGCAAAGCAGAACTGTTTTCTTCTCGTGAACTGCCACGAATTTGTAGGTCGACATTGTTGTCGTCTGTTCGTCGCGAACTGGGATGTTCAATCACTGGCAAAGCGGGTAGCTTTTTAGAAAACTCTTGCCTTGGACTAGTGATTAAGCTTGTCATCTTTTAAACCGTCGTCTCATTTTTACCAGAAAGCATGCATAATAACTCAAGTTTATATTTTTATAAGACGACTTGGCTGTACACTCCCCCGATCTCTGTGACTTTAGAACTTGACTTCCATGGTAACCTCTACTTAATATTCATGTTTAAAATGTATAATCAAGCTGAACCGTCACGCACAACACCAAACGTGAGTTTGACATTTGTTTTCGTTGGACAGTAGGGCTAGGCTAGTCCAGTTCTGGTCATCTCTCTGTCACTCTCCATGCCCACACAGGGAGTTAAAAGTGTAAAGGAATCGCAGAAAAAATTGACTTTAAACTATCCAGTACATTTGATACCGGCAACCTTGTTGGAGAGAAACGTTGGCTACATAATGTGGACAAATCCATTTAACTGTATGGTGGACATAAACATAGTTCTGCAACTGCCTGTCAAAGTTTAGAAAAAAAGGCATTGTAGCTTGTTCTTCCTCGCTCTCCGTTCCTGCGACGTCTCCTTCGCGCGCAGCGGCTCGGGCCGGAGTCACGCAATGCTTCCCGTTGCGTGACTTCAGTCAGGGCGGCCGCGAAGGATTGGAAAAGGTTTCATAACCAGTGGGAGTGGGATCTGGGTAGGATTTATTTTAAATCTTTCCAAAATGCTTAAATTTGCCGCCCACGAAATAACAATGAAAACAAACTGAAAGTATCAGCTTTTTAGTAGAAACGTTTCTTAAAAACATAAATGACGGTAAGGATATGAGGTAATCCAAGAACTACAAGTAATCTTAACTGTTTGTTCTGAATGTACAATTGAAAATGAGTGAATTTAAGTAAAATGACCGGTTTCAATATAAGCTTAAGCTTATAAATGGAAGACAAAGTAGCTCCGACAAAAAGCACAACATAAGCTTACGTCTTGTTCTGTTTTTCCCCTTCCGCTGTTGTTTCGCCGGCTCTTCACAGTTTTCTTTATTGACTGTGAAACAAACGAAACTATTCCACTCCATTTCTCAAATGTTTTTCACTTTTTTAACGAGAAAAAACTCTTTGAGAAAAACTTTTCTGCTCGAATGTGTGCGAAGCGGCGCTCAGCAAGCTGCAAGAAAAGGTGGGAATTTTGGCGCGAAACTCACACACCTCTGTGGCCTCTTTTTGGATGTATCATTTTTCTCACATGTGAAAAACATCGTTGTCGATTCTAATTGGACGTATTTTTTTCGCGTGTGAAAACCATAGTTCACTCCTCTGATTGGCTAGAACTCATTTGCGTATCAAAATTTTACAACACAACTTTTTGGTGAGTATTTCTCAGTATGTATATAATAAAAATAGGTTCGGGCCACCTTAAAGCGCGGATTTTGGCCGGTTGGTAGGCTAAGTTTGTCTTGAAATTTTAAGGTGTTGCAGTGAATCAATCTATATGAAAGTTTCAGACATAATATCATAGGTGACGAATTACTCCTTAATTTTGGCGCGAAATTTCAGCGTTAATTTGTAATTTCACAAGTGAAATTACAAAATTGCCATGGCAACCCTTCCGTACGTCTCAGTGTCAAGATGACGACGAAGTTTTAAAATGCCGTGAATGAAGATGTCAGGGCACAAAAAGACGCTTTAGAAAACCTGAACACACAAGAGAACATCGAGACGGATTCTAACAGGTATTTTGCCGAAAAAGTCTGAAAAATTCTGAACTTTATAAGCCCCCTTCCCCACTTTTTGACAAATAATTAAATTAAGTACAGTGGAACCTCGATATAGCGAAGGGCCAAGGAACTGGCAAAATATATTCGTTACAACGAGGTTCTTTTAACTTATATCGAGGTTCTATTTCCTATTGCCTTAAATTTTACTATTACTGGAGTCAAAAAAATAGTTTGTTAGACTGAGGACTTCGTTATAGAGGTTCCACTGTAATATACATTTTCACATAAATAGTATCTTTGTTGGAATGAGAATCTTCCAGGATCTAAATTCCGTTTCGCTCCCATCAGTCTGATGCCACGGTTGTAAGACTCGAAACGCCTGTGTTCACAAAACTGCATTTAGTCCTAGTAGGACTTCTGCGTTTTCAAACAGGCAAGGCTATGTAGTCTTTTTTGGTGACGGTTGAAGGTTCTCGATTAAATCTGATCATGAAGACTACTCCACGAACTACGGTTTCTTAAAACGAATTATATCGGATGATGATGTGGTCTCTGACGCATTTCGATGACGTACTAAACAAAATGAAGGGGTTACAGGAACCTGCTGCGCAAACTTCTACTGGTGGATCCTGCATGTGCAATCAGGTTCAGCAGGAGAAAGGTACATTTCAGCGGCTTGAAATTTATAAACATAACTCCGCTCAACAATGACTAAAGAAAGGTTCAGTAATCAGACAGTTCTAAACAGCAACAAAGAGAGAACAGCCAAATTTGCCCCTACCCTACCCCCCCCCCAACTTCAAAAGAGGTGGTCACCGGCCCCCGCACTTTAAAAACTTCTCCGCGGGCCCTGAAAATACACCAAAATTTCCGAGCTGCGAAATATGACATTAACCAGCGTTCTGACATTATTTAGAACTTTTTTATTAAAAAATTTCTCACGGCTATTGAAAATGAAAGGTTTGAAATATATTTACGTTTATTTGAATTCAAACTTGCAGAATTTTTTATTTCTCACGGAGGTTATTTGCTAAATATCGCACTTTAAGTTCCTGGTTTCGTACTTTCAGTAGCAGGTCTCCATCGCGCAAAATGCAGCTTTTATAGATTTCAGAGTTTTTTGTTTATTGTTGTCATAGTGATATCGATTTTACTTAAAACTGCATTTTGACAAACTTCAATTCATAGTCAGTCACTGGTGAAAATTTTATAGCGATCGGACAAGGATAAAATCACCTTTAAGGCGATTGAAAAATATCGGTATGGTCTCCGAAATACTGTATCGAAACACCTTAAACAAACTTACAACGAAACGGAAACTCATTAACTTTGTGCTGTTTGTACTTTGAATAGGCCGCTGTTGGCTTTTGTAGGATTATTAAACAAGGCACAAAAAGCATAAAACAAAGCATCTCAAAAATAGCACGACTAACCTTTTGCGAAGCTAAAACATCCCAAATCAACTTACTTCAAAGTAAATTATGGCTAAAACTACTTCAGAGGGAATATTTAAAAGCTAGATATGAAATTCGAGGTGAATAAAGGATACATGGAGAATCTACCCTTGCACTATCAATTTGAACTATTAATTCTGAAACACTACAAGTCCATCCTCAGTTTAAAACGTATATGTTTATTATCACATGGCTTGATGAAAAAGCTGTACATGTAATTGTTGTCAACTTAAGTATCTTGTGGATCAGATTAGCCTCATTTCATAAAATTTTATTTCAATATTTCTTGTAAAAGTAAAGCTGCCTGTTCATCATCCTAGTCTCGGAATCTAAAAGTCTCTATTGTATTGAATTATCTGTCCCACTATATACCCCATATATACCCCATACTATAGACCTACAGAGAGTATGGCTTGGTCATACCCTACGGCATTGTGATCTTGTGCCATTAGTTATTGAGGGAAGAATAATAGGGAGGAGACCACCTGGAAGACCTCGAGCGGGAATGCTGGATAGAGTAAAAGATGGCAGCCCTTACGTAGCGCTCAAGAGGCTCGCCTTAAATCGAGAACTATAACGAAGGACCTGCCTGTGGGCAGAACACACAAACACACACACATACCCCACAGGAGCCTATTACCCTATCTTAGTCACTTGATTTGTAATTGTACTTAATACAGTCCACTGTCTCTTGATGGACACCTTTTTAGGATGGACACTCGGTGTTGGTCCCTTCCCTGACATTTCTCAATCATTTTATTGTGACTAAACTCTCTAAAAGCCGGACGCCTTTGCAAGATGGACTGCTGGCGCTGGTCCTGAAGGTGTCCTTTATTGTCCATCTTAGGGAACGTTCACTGTCGTGCGATTCTAACTTTGGCATTTTGGCTAAACAAAGCCGGCAATTTACGGCTTTATCAGAATCAGAAACCAGCCTAAAAGCTCATGTATTTTCAAAAAAATCAAGACACTCATTGGATATTTCACGGAATGGTACCCGAAAGAATTGCATTAGAAGTACTCATTATATTCCTTCTTCAAGAGCCGGGATCCATCCTTTCTACTTGGCTAATGATTGCACTTTTCCTCTTGACTTCTGCTCTGTCGACTGGCGAAACCCCGTGGCTCGATCTCAAATCGAGAACGACGGAGTCACTTGATCGATCTCCTTTCCAGTACGGTGGTCCAAACTGATTTGACTAAAAAAAAAGGCTTTATAATCAATTAATGGTGAGAAGATTTTAACGGCGTTGAAACGGACGGGTGAAACTGAACGCTAACGCCGGTACTGCAGGAGTATGGGGCGCCGTTTGTAAAAAAAATGATTTAGCTTAATTTTGTCATTTTTTTCGTTATTTATTAAATAAAGTTTTCTGATATGATATCATACGTCAATGATTTGATATAATAAATGTTGATTTCAAATCATGCGTTTATGATTTGATATAATAAATTATTATTTAAAATCATGCGTTTATGATCTGATATAATAAATTGTTTTTTCTAATCATACCTTTATGATTTGATATAATAAATATTGATTTCAAATCATAAGTTTATGATTTGATATAATAAATCCTGATTTCAAATCATAAGTTTATGATTTGATATAATAAATCCTGATTTCAAATCATAAGTTTATGATTTGATATAGTAAATCCTGATTTCAAATCATAAGTTTATAATTTCATATAATAAGTTCTGATTTTAAATCATAAGTTTATGATTTGATATAATAAATCCTGATTTCAAATCATAAGTATATGATTTCATATAATAAAAATCATTATTTGATATCAGTAAAACCATGATTTAATTTAATAAGTAATAAGTAACCGCGTGACTTGGCACGTGGGTTACTAGCGCGGGAATAATCGCAAAGATGGCGACACAACCAGATCAGCTATCGAGGTCAATCGCTTCTGCGGTCTCTAGAGCCGTAGAAAGGGCGGTTGACCAACCTTTGGCATCCCTTCCGAGCCTTCCTGGCAATTCAGGTTTTGCTCCTGCGACACAAGAGGTATGTAACATTGATGTGTCCGGGGGGGGGGGTACTCCCATACATTACCTGTACGGGTATATGTGCCGCCCAACGGGGTCGTCATTTTGAAACTCCTGATTTAGAACGGGGTATCCATTGCAGAGGCGTTTTCTAGAACGGGGTATAAAAAAATTGTGGATCACGGCTTTATCTTCTGCTTAAAATTGTTGCTGATTATGAAGAAGCATCTATTTGATGTATAAGTCGAACAAATAAAGAAATATCTTTTTAAAAAACAGGGCTATTTCAATTTACGAACTTTCTAGAACGGAGTATAAAAAAATCCCCCCCTCCTCCTAGGATGTATCACTGCTAAAGCATCCCAGTCGCTGCCGGGGTGATGACCTGTGTGTCGATGTGATTAACAAAAAAATCATTATTGATGTCTTCCAAGCGCCTCATCTATTTCTTATATGTTGCACTGCATCATTAGTTAAGGGGATTGCATGTTAATCGGAAAGCTATGACTATATTTACGAGGGAAAGAGGACTTTTGGACCTTTCGCTTGTCTGGCGCATTGCGTGACACGCGCGGCTTAGTTTTAGATGTGTTTGCTTCCTTTGTTATGTCCTTTTAGTAGCCATACTAAAATAACATACAGCTAATGATTGTTTCTATTTCACAAAGTGAGGCGACAAGACAGTTCGTCAGAGAACAAGAGATCGAGACAAACAAAGGGCTATTTACACCTCAACACCGGGAGGAGAAATTATTATTTAGTGACATCGGTCCAAGCGTCCTTGGCGAACAAAAATCATTGTACAGGCGTAACATTGAGACTCTGGTTTGGCGACAAATCGCAGTAGCATATATATGTTCGGAAGGGATGCCAAAGGTTGGTCAACCGCCCTTTCTACGGCTCTAGAGACCGCAGAAGCGATTGACCTCGATAGCTGATCTGGTTGTGTCGCCATCTTTGCGATTATTCCCGCGCTAGTAACCCACGTGCCAAGTCACGCGGTTACTTATTACTTATTAAATTAAATCATGGTTTTACTGATATCAAATAATGATTTTTATTATATGAAATCATATACTTATGATTTGAAATCAGGATTTATTATATCAAATCATAAACTTATGATTTAAAATCAGAACTTATTATATGAAATCATAAACTTATGATTTGAAATCAGGATTTACTATATCAAATCATAAACTTATGATTTGAAATCAGGATTTATTATATCAAATCATAAACTTATGATTTGAAATCAATATTTATTATATCAAACCATAAAGGTATGATTTGAAAAAATAATTTATTATATCAAATCATAAAGGCATGATTTGAAATCGGAATTTATTACATCAAATCATAAACGCATGATTTTAAATAATAATTAATTATATCAAATCATAAACGCATGATTTGAAATCAACAGTTATTATATCAAATCATTGACGTATGATATCATATCAGAAAACTTTATTTAATAAATAACGAAAAAAATGACAAAATTAAGCTAAATCATTTTTTTTACAAACGGCGCCCCATACAGGAGAACGAATTGTTTATCATTTAATCTTAGAACTTGTAAGTCATGTACTCTTGCAAACCATGAGTCAATTGCTACTGTTCTATCATTACGTCACCAAGCCTTTAATTAAGGAAACATTCATGAAACTCCGGCAAACGAAGAGCACAAGTCAACACTGTTCAAATGTTTGTGTCCAATAAAATGAGTGGGGTCCATTATTGGAGTAATCTTTAGGTAAGATTTCATTTTCTTAATTGCGTTCCGATCGAGTTACTCTTGAAGTATTTCGTTTAGTTTTATACGTAGATCAAGAACACTCAGAGTACAGAGCGACCTGGGGATGGCGAACAGTACGGATCAATAATAACAATAATAAATGAGAAACTGCCTGTCACATGGAAGTTGAGTTTATTTCTATTTTTAAAAAAATGTTTCTAACCTTGCTGACTGAAGGGTTCTCGCCGAAGGCTGGGATTTTCAGTTGATCTAGGCGATTCAATATCAGGTCCATCTTTTCTTCAACTGAAACGTCAAGACGTTAGGGCCAGCTGTACACTTTCTTTTGCATAACAAATTAAACTTAACTACTGTGAGCCACTTTTCTTCGCTCTCCGCCGCGAAGGACGGCTTGCATTGAGAGGCCATAGATTAAGATTAACTGAAATGAAATTCTTACCGGACAATGGAAACAATCCACCATATTTCTTTTTATAGCGTTTTGTTATTACTGGAAACAAACACTCCTGATAATATTTCCTGTATTCCTTCTGGCGACAAATCGCTTCCTGTAATCGTATGAATGAAAAGAGTAATAAGTCTTTCACTTATAGGTTTCTAGTGGTTAGAAATAAAAATGTTAATTGACTTTCTTTGTGAACCCCCTGTACATATTATGCTGGAAACTGGGTCAAAATTCGTTCCCAAAAACAGTTCCATGACGTGGTTCTACGCAACACGTAGTCTCAGGTGCAACCTCCAAATGGCCAATTCAACATTTTTGGCGAGTTTCCTCAAGTGTTTCTTATCATGGCCACTTCCATTAAAATGATCCAGAACTGTTGGATAGTCTTGGTTCCAGGCGAAACATTTTGCTTTGTGTTGAACCTCATCCAACATCATCCTTCAACATTTAACATCGCCTAACAGTATTGGATAACTGCTGGTCCCTTATAGAAAACAATCGAGGGGAATATATGGTGCCTATCAATTGCAACATTGTATAACAATCAGAAAATCATATCACACAATAAAAGACCGTTGCAAAAAGTAAATGGCTTTTAGAGCACGAAATTCCGTACCTCAGAAAAAAAGTAACGATTCTGAAAGATTATCATAGAGATCACCTGTTTTCTCGCATCTTTGATTCTTCCTAGCCAATACATCATTTGTAAAGGTACCGAAAGGAGATTAAATGGCACAGCCATGGAGTGCATACCCCTGTACTGGTTTTCAACAACAGCGCGTGAAAATTTCCACTCAACTTCCTTATTATTCTAAGAAAAAATAATACAAAAATAAAATAACGTTTCGTCTGCATCAATAATGAAGAAGAATTTATTTTAAGCAAACATTTCGTTTGTTTTGTCAGTGTGTGAGGTTCTTGAGTAAAGGCAGCAAATTCAGCAGTCTTTATAGTTGTCTCAAAATCTGGGTAGCTGGTATTATCGATCCCCAGTCTCTTAAACCCAATTTCCTTGGTTTGAAGAAGTGATTCTAGGATCTTGAGGATACCCAGCTGGATCCTTTGCGTATATATCTCACCTTGCGAGAATAATGATTGCATGCCTCTGGAATATACGTGCTAGACGTATGGACTAGCTTAACCACAAAGCTTCTGATCTTGGGCCACTGTCGACTTTGTTTTCGAGACATTTTGTACACGGTGTGGGCTTATTACCTCTTTAAGGAGGTAAGGGTAATCACAAAAAAATTAGAGAAACGCAATAGATTCCACCCTAGGATGCAGGTTCCCAGGTTCTTTACTGCAAAAGGTGAGTTGATCTCTGACAAATGATTTTCTGTGCGCACTTTTGGATTCAGTCATCCACGTTGAATTCTTTTATCTTGATTTGTGTGCTATCACAAACTAAACCACCAAGGACATCACTGTTCGAGACCAGAGAACACTAGAACCATATACACTAAACAGGAGTACAGTTGCGAGGCAGGGTGAGAAAAAGGCTATCGGGTGGTGTTAAGAGAAGTTAGGAGGGTTGATACCAGCTGGTCGCGAATTTTGAGCAATCTGTTACAGTACGGCCACTTTATTTTATTTTATTTTATTTTATTTTATTAGCTTTGCCATGATGAATACAAAAAACCTGAAGATATGTAAATACTAGTAATAAGAACGTAACAATACACTAATAATAACTTAAATAATTTGGACAGGGACACCGCAACAGCTAAAGCCAATTACTGCGGACCCAAAATAAAAAATATAAAAGTAGCAACTGAAATCACATGCAGCAGCTAATTTCTTGGTCTAAGAACCTGGCTGTGTTACACTTCAAGCAAATAGTTTTGAAGCTCCTTGGAAAGTCCGGGTCATAGTTTATTGCTAGAGCCCGCGAGTAATAACCGTAAAGAACAGATTTAAAATTCTCAATAGTAACATTATCTAGGTCAAATCTACTAATAAAAAAAGATTTCTGAAAGGTAGAAGTCCTGCATTTTTTAGGCACAAAAGATTGAGAGCTCGTTACGGATGTTCGGGTCCTTCGCCCGCATTCGCGCACGACGGTAACATTATATTAATACTTCGTATGGGTAAAGACCTCACGCATCGCTTAAGTCAATTACATTTTGATTGATGACTTCTTTGAACAATGTTTTAAAAAATGTTGCTGTTATTATACAGCTTGCACTGATAATTTAACAGATTCCGTCTGACAGCTTAGTGTGAAACTCGCAAAACCGTAAACACCAGAAAAATCTCTGGAGTTATTGTGTTGTTAAAGGCCGAACAGTCAATCAGGCCTTTGAAAGCTAAACTAAACTAATTAGCTTGCGGAGATTAAAAGAAAACTGAATGCAGGGATGGCAATACGGCAAAGGGCTGGTTTTGTGGCTTGTACGCATGTCCTGATCTTCGCTGTGATTGGCCATAACACAATAAATATTCCCAAAATATTTCAAGTATTCACATTCTTATTAGTTTGACAGTAAGTACCTGAATAATATACTTGAGTTTAAAAGAACTAAGTTATTATCGGCTCACCGTGATATTGTCGTACGTTTTTGTCAGCAAAGCGATCAGCATATTCACCAACATGATGACGGAAAAAACGAGATAAATGAGAAACAGGGCTGACACATAATCAGATGTCTCAAGGGAGCTGGATCGCCATTCCTTCAAATCCGTTTGTTCAAATACAGACCACATGAGCAGAGTAGCTGCCTTTCTAAAACTAAAAAAAATAAATCGATAGTGACTGAAATTGGATAGAAGACAAGACGACAACAAGGTAATTTCACTTAACTCGGTTCTACACATGATACTGGTTGTACTAGGTAAGACTTGGTTCCCACAAGATATTGGTACCGCTCAGTATCCCGGGGGTTGCTTCCTAGTAATACAAGAAAATGTTTGTTTAGAGTATAATGATAACGGTGTAAAGACCAAAAACAAACTCACTCCATAGATTTTCCCACGGATTCTCCAGAATAACTTGGTGGAGTTAAATAGGACAGCTCTGCTTTGTAGCTCTTTGTTATAGCCATAGAGAATCCCAAGATGACGAAACAATACTGGCTGACAATAATCAGCAAATCTCCACACATGCGGTATAAGGCCAATTGGAGTGGACCTATTGTTGGACTCAGTTCAAGAATGCTGGAAACACGAAGAACCATCAATAAAGTGTTAATACCGTAAAGGTAGTTGCTAATCTCCAACAAACGGTTGTTGTACGGAATTCCACCACGGGCAATAGTCGTGATTCGAAGGATAACTATGAAGACGTACATGATTTCAACTATAACGTCCAAATAGTTCCACATGTCCCTGCCAAGACAAAGCAAGAAAAGAGGACAGTACACATGCATCTCTCTCTGAACTGGTCGATAAAGCCTCTGCCCTATGATGTGAAATGTAACAACAGGGACGAATATGTGACAAACAAAAAGGCCATTTTATCGACGCTCTTGGCATCCTTTACCAAGATAGACTAGTACTGATATTTAATAAGAAGAATGAGAAAACTGTTGATGGAGGAAACTCCCATCACATTAATTGGTTTCAAGGCAGGTCCTCCGAAAAAGGCAAAGAGATAGAAACACGTTGATCGTAAGAAAAGCAATTGGTATTGGTCATCCCCCGTTCCTTGTACAACAGTATTCGGCATTGTTTAGTTTACATTATATAACTTTTTTAGGCCACAAGAACGTAGTACGTGGGATGACTTACAGTGGCGGATCTAGGGGGAGGGTGCAGGGGGTGCGCACCCTCCCCTGAGATTACCTGCGGTTTTCTAATACAACTGGTATTCTGCAAAAAAAAAAAACTATGTGGTTTATTGGTGTAGAGCAAGAGACGAGTGCACCCCCTCCTAAAAGAAATCCTGGATCCGCCCCTGACTTAGAATTCAAGGATATGGCTCTTCCTGGAATGGATCAAAGTAACAACATCCATGACTTAGGGTGATTTCACTCACTCTCATTGGTTATGTTCGTACCAGGGATACACTGACAAGCCCCAAAAAGGGTAGTAGCCTCTATTACAAGCCACTGTTCGATAAAAGAGTCCACGATCCTTCTCGGAAGAGCGGCGTGGAAATCGAGAAACAAGACCGGACCCTAGTGACGACGGCAGAAATTGAGCCTGAAAAAAGAACGAGCCAACGCTCTCTGTATCATCTTCTAGTTATTAGCTCTAATCATGCCGGGTCTTGTTGTTTCTTGGTTATAACTCTTTTACTTTGTTTGGTTAGTCCTAGAAATGCCTCGTGCAAGTACAGTTAGTTTAATTTGTTTTTATGAATTGATCACGCAAGTATGATTATGCTTTCCCATATGGGTGAAAGGTTATTGTTATTTAGAACACTGACAATACAATTTATCTTACTTGAAGTACTTCCGGGGGGATTTTTTGTATTGTTGATATTCGTTGAGTGCCATGCCACAAAAGAAGACAAAAATCAAGTATTCATCCACCATAGGTGTAACGGTAGATGGGGAAAGGCAAACACGGCAGTGAAGGACAATGAACGCCCACTGGCCAAGCTTTTCCTTTAAAAACGTGACGCAAGGTGACGTACAGTAAGCATAGTACCCGTCTGAGAAAAAAAAGATTAAATTTAGAGCAAGTACAAGAAGACTTAAAGCTTCTTACAAAAGCATAATTTTACACCGAGTCTATCAAGAAACAAAAATCATTGTAATAATCGCCGAATCTTATACCTGAGAAATGAGCCAGTGATTTGGTAATACGGGTTTTTAAAGGTATAGCAGGAGGTGTATCAGAATTCACAGCCCTCTCCTTGCGCCCATTGTTCTCACTGTTCTCCTTTGATATCGACGCTTTGCTATATAAACTGGGTGCGGATTGTTTCTGCCTCTGTATCTTGGCCTTTGCTAAACGTCTTCGACACTGTAACAAGACATATTAGTAATATACTTATTGTATTACAACTACCATTTGACAATAGAGATGATGAAAGCTTGACGAGAGTTGGCCCTAAACCTGGACTGAATTATATTTTGGTGTGACTCACTTTCCCCAGATAAATTATGTCAAATATCATTACTAGGGAAAACCTTTGGGAAAACTGTAGCCTGTATGGCTAGAATTTCCCTACCATCTCTGATTTGCCCACCGAATCTACTAATCACAAATTAGGAATCATCATGACTTGTGTGAAGCTGAATTATTCATGGCACTGAATACAAACGTGGGTATTAGAGTAGCTAAAACGCACAAACGCCTAGGCAATAATAGTAGTAAAGGGAAAATATCATTCTACCTCCTTTTGGTCCCTATAGAAGGCAAAGATTACTAGTGGAAGAACAAATGGAGTCAAAGCCGTGTCTATAAGGACCACCAACCACAGGAGCACAGAGTAAAGCTTCAAAACTTCTGGCAATCCATGTTTCCATCTCATTTCGAGCCTTTTGTGCAATAATGGGTGGGATACAAACTGTAAATCGATTTAAAAAGAGACAGAAATTGATTTAACGCTCCTCAGGGAAAGATAAGGGCTTTCACATCGATTAACCTAAAAGCATGAACGGAGGAGGGAGGGGCATATCCTTATTTCGCCTAAAATGATATTTGCCGTTAAACAGGGCTGGTATGGCTTTCAGGGTCTACAATTTTACCTTTCAGCGTCTTGAAAAAACGGTGTCTTATTCAACCAGAACCCAACGGTGTGGAGGTTGGCGATGAATCGGGGATCGGGATCTTTAGTGACTCAAGCTACGTGCAAAAGGACGCAACAACTCCCAACATTGTTGGCCCTAGAATGTGAGAGTTGTTGCGTCCGTGTTGGCATGGGTGTGCAAACGGATGCAACAACTCCCACCTTGCTGCAATAACATGAAACAAGGTGTGCTAACGGACGCAACAGTCACTTGAGATCCAACAATTTTGGGAGTCGTTGACCAAGAATGTTGCGTCCGTTTGCAAGGGGCTTCAAAATAACATGATACCGCTATTTAAACTGTAGATCAGCATGGACCCAATGAAAAAATGGCTGTGGGATTAATATCCTTTTGTTTAGATTAAGATTAGCCTGAATAGCCTCGCTTGAGTAAGGTATTTTTTTTTCGAATTTGTACATAAGGAGGCTAGTAAAACCAAAAGAATATGAAACTACCGTGGCCATTTTTACATTGGATCTATGGGGAATCTCTACTCCGAGAGGCTTCTATGTTCTATGTTTCGCAAGGAGCCTGGAAATAGAGAAGAAAGCGCGCAAGGGATGATAGGAAGAAAGGCTGTGGCTATCCATCTGAATGATTGAGGTCAAACCCCTACCTTCTTTTGGGAGTATTTGATTGCATCATCAGTCATGGGACTCAGCAGAGAAGCGTAACGATGTGATTCGTCAGGTTTATTGCGAATAACCAGTTCCTCGCTGACAGAGACTTGATCTATTAATTGCACTGCAAAGTCTTCAGTCTGCTCTGCAAGCTTGTTGAGTAAGACTGTGTTCTCCGAGTATTTCATAGCAGAGCGTTGTAGTGCGCAGTTTACCTTCTAAAAGGAGATTATCGTTCAAGATCATACATTAGTTTACAGTGGAACCCGTCAATACGACCATCGCTTGACCATGGAAATTGGGTATCAAAGGTAACAAAGCAGCTGTCTCACGAAAATTTTCAAAATTCAAACAGCGCATAGGAACACCCACAAACTGAGTAAAGCTTAAAATTAATCGGTCAAAACATGAAAGAAAAAAGGTATAAATAACACTGTAAAATAATACCAAAAGAGGCAAGGACGGACAAACTCGAAGAAGATTAAAACGGATTGCAATTGTGGTTTTTGAAACTGACCTTTTTCAAAGACGGTTGTTGTTGTTTCTAACGTTTTAGGATCAACTTAGGTTTCTGGGAAACTGCCCACCTACCCCTCCCCTAAGCCAACAATTTGCCCCAATAGTAGTAGTAGTAATAATAATAATAATAATAATAATAATAATAATAATAACTGTCTTTATTTCGCCCGTTAAAATACATAACAAACGTTACAGAGAGTAAAAGTATACAAATCATGAAAATCACACAGATCATTTACAATTATTATATAAAACCTAAATAAAACATTGGATATTTATTTTGTTAAATTGCCAAGTTGTATTGAAACCTTATTCTATTAAAATAGCAATTCTTAAAACGTTCTATAATGGATGGTTAACATTGTTCTTAATTTTGGTGAACAACCTGTGGTCACACTTCTCTAAAAGGTCATAGATATTAATTAACTCATAAGTGTAACGTCGCTTATTGCACCTTTTTAAAAAGCATTCTATAGTGTTTAAATCTATCTGGCTGGCTCCATATGCCGGAAGTGCGTATGTGATCTTTGGCAGAACAATAACCTTAAAGAGATGATCTATCTCTATCTACGTGTATCCATCTTTTCTTAGTGATCTTAAAATGTACAAACACTTGTTTGCTTCTCGAAGCTTTCCCTTAACAAGAGATGAAAACTTACAGTCGTTTTGTAATGTGACACCTAATAAAGTGAAACTGTCACTCTTTTCTATGCCACATTGAGGCGGGAAGTCAGGTGTAACACCTCTTTTAGTCATACATAGTTCTTTGCATTTGCTTGAAAACGAGAAGTAAGTGTTAATGTCGGCTTAGGGGAGGAGTAAGTGGGCATTTTCCCAGAAACCTACATTGATCCACGTTTGATATAATGCTTGGGAGACATGTTTGCTTGACACGATGCTGTGTTTATTGACATTCACAAGTAGTTTCTCAAAATGACCGTTCTAGCCTTCCTCCTCCAAAGCGATCTTGTAAAACAAAACTTTATAGAATAAACTGTGCGCGTCGAGGCTGTCTATATGTGAGCTCTCTTCATGAGACACTACTGAAAAACAACATATATCTGCTTATGTACCTGAAAAGCCATGTTTATGGGGTCTCGGCAGGAGCACAAGTTCTCAGCGGTGACCATATTTACAATATCGTCGACATTCCACCTTTTTCCTTTGGGATTCTTTGATTGTTCTATAAACTTCCTTAGATCAACTTCCACCCCTAAAAGTAAAAATAACAATAAACGAGTCGGTATTATGGTTTGCAAATAAAATGACGACCTGCAACTGACGCCTATAGATCTCTGTTGGTAGGCCGACGATCTCTGAAGCGTGATCAGGGACCAGTTACGCCTGGAGTTACGAAAATAGGGACCTTAAGATCCGAGGACGGCGACGGCAGAGAAAGCGTCGCTTAAAAGTGAATTCCCGTTCTTTCAATCTTCATCGCGATTTCTCCAAGTCACTAACTTTGTGAAATGTAGGCGAACCCTCCCAAAGTTGAATTCCTAAGAACCATATTCAAGTTCAGAAAGAGAGAGGAAGTTTCGTAGTCGCTTGTGTACTTCCTCTGTACATCGTGAAATTAGGCATTTTCACGTCGTAGTCGTGCAGTGACGGCAAAGAAATGTACAAAAAAGCGTGATGCACGTGCAAAATTGTTGTTTTGCTAATTAAACCTATCGCTTTTGTGGCGTTCCCGTTGCCGTCGCCGTCGTCGGATCTTAAGGTCCCTAATGCGACGACAACGGCAACCGGAACGTCAAAGCAGCAATAGATTTAATGAGCAAAACAACAACTCTGCACGTGCATCATCAATTTCTTTGCCGTCCCTGCACAACTACAACGTGAAATGGCCAAAAATTAATTTTACTTGAGACAGGGAACGACAAGGCGATAAATTCTACCATCCCTGCTCGAATTCTGACGCGTCCCCCTTTCTTCACATCCAACCTATATTCCCTTCTTTTAAGTATCTGAGCAACTGTAGACAATCGCGAAACCGTTTGAAAGGATGCGAAATCTGTTTTTCTAAAGACGATTTCATGCACGTCGCCGTTGTCAGATTGTAAGATCCCTTTTAAGGCTATCTTCACACCGGAGACCGAATAGCGCATGCGCCGTCAAGAAAACCTTACCTGATAGTTAAACCGGATAGGGCTTCTGGCAAACATAAGTAATTGTAATTGTAATTGTAACTGTAAATTGAGGGATAATAACAAAACTGGTTGGGGGACTTTGCGAGACTGCTTATAGGTCAGTTTACAAGTAATGAAGAGATGGATAATAATGCCCCCTATGCGAGTTTGACTTGTTGGGTTCTTTAACGTCCTACAGAGTTTCATTACATGTGCAAGGCTTGGAAGACGGGGCTTACGGTTTATCGTCCTTATCCGAGAAGACTGTCTAACCATTACAAAGGCAGCACCTTCTCCTCAGTTATTTAAAGACCCTGAGTGTTGGTCCGGCCGGGGTGTGAACGAGCGGCCTCCCGCTCAGCAGACCGGCTCTTATCCAATTGAGCTAGCTTGACGGTGATTTCGGCATGACTTTTGCAACGAAGCGTCGCCGCGCCGATCTCGATCGAATGTGAGCACGAAGTATCACATATGAGAAAGGTTATGTGCCACTCTTTGGTACACTTAGGGTTTGATAGATTGTGCTGGCATAATTTTTAACATAAATTAGTCATTACAAACATAATTTTCAAGTACATTCCGAAAACTATCACTGTTAGCATATTTTGCACTGTCAGCCAGTTTTGCGGTGGGCAACTGTCATTTATTGATCATGCAACCTACTTTTTGACCCGAGATCAGTGATGCAGAAAGCTTTAAGGAGAAAAAAATCAATTCTTTGTCAGCTTTTTTGTCACATTTATGGGACCTGGTTCCTACAGGAAGTGATTCAGGACTCCTTCCACAGACCTCCATGCATGAGCATAATGCTGGCTGTGTTTAACACCTCTTGTTTAGTTCAAATGTTGGGGTCACTGGAGGGAAACAAGCCGTCTGACTTCGCCTTTTTCATTATACCCGAACCTGCCTGCTAGATGTTAAAGGGGTAATTGCCACACTATTTTCTGTCTTTTTAAAACTAA